GAGTTTATTTTTTCTTTCTTTTTTCTTTTCTTTGCCGATGTTTAATTAATTTGTAATGTATCGACATGAACGAAAGAGAGAGAGGGAGAGAGAGAGAGAGAGAGAGAGAGAGAGAGAGAGAGAGAGAGAGCGAGCGAAAGAGATGGAAGAAAATGATTAATGGCTAGGCAATATATTTTCAATAGAGCATGTTTAATTAAAAGAAAAAAAGATGAAAAAAAAAGAGATATCTTGCTTGGCATTTTCATTCGTTTTTATTGGCTTTCGTATCGGAAAGTGCACGTTTAGTATGTTACAGCAAGTACTGTGATATTGCAGGTAATTAGAGTAATGTGGCTTTTAAAGATACCAGTTCTATTTAACATCGTCTTTTATATCAAATTCTACGAGAAGAATATTATAAATAATAATTATTAAAATATTAATTTTATTAATGTATAGAATTTTCGAATGGATGTAATGTGTTCATTGCGTATTTTAATCCAGCTTTTAACCGTCTAAACGTCTCTTTAATACCTTCTTAATCCTTAATTCCTAAGAAGCATTATGAATTTATTCACGCATTGTATACATTGTTACTCGTGCGCCGTCTTTTATATCGCCAGTTTTATCGTGTATTTGTCGATACATCTTGGAGAAATTGTCATTGTCCAACGACCATGATCCGAAAAGTGAGAGAAAGCACAGCTTTTTTCGTTGTACAATACGAAGTTCGTCGAGGCGAAATCGACGTGACAAAGCGGAGGGAAGTAACGACACTCGTGGACAGTCGTGTAGTTTCGTTGTAACTCGATATCGTAGCAAAGTTGCCATCACTTGTAACTAACGTCCTTACAGTAAAAGCCGTAACATTAGCGAGGAACTGATGTATATATATCGCTGTATGAACGAGTTTAACCATTTATTATTCGTATCGTCGAAAGTGAGTTTCGATCGCGAACACAGTTTGGTGACCGCCTGGTGTCTGTATTCCAAGTCCCCCGAGAGCTCGATCTAACGTTTCTTTGTAACGACAGTAACGTGTAACAATAACAGAGTGCCTTTCTCCGAGTGCGTTGATTATGCTGAAACAGCGCAGAGACAGCTATTTTTTTTTTCTTTTATTTTTTCCGAAAATGTCCTCTTGTTTGGCTGCCGTACGAAATTGTCTTCCAATTATCGGTTTTCTATGTCGAAGTACACGTCGAAGAACTCGACATGTCTCAGTAGATTGTCCAGTGCCTTACTAATTTGTTCTTAACGTAAAGTCGTGCTAAAGTACAATCGGCAATATGCCTACGAATTACACTAGCGTCTAATCGAATAATCGGTTGCAGAGTACACTATTTAATAGTCGTTACATTATTTGTTTATTGAAAGTAGAAAGAGAGGGAGAGAAAGAGAGAGAGAAAGAGAGGGAGGGAGAGCAGTGTGTGTGTGTGTGTGTGTGTGTACTATTTGAATTAATCATGTATATGTACTATATAAAAAGTAAAAAGCCTATATATTTATGTTTATCGTTAGCTTTAATGCGTGGTCAACGAAAGAAATAGAATCTTTTAACAACTGTACTTTTACGTTAACGCGAAAGAGGACGAGGAGGAAAGGATGAGTACTCACTAAGTGGCTGTTCTCTTATACCGCACGCTATACTTTCGTATGTACTCCCGTAACACATAAGTGGTAGCGTCAGTGATAATCGGCACCCGTGGCTACATTAATCGCGACTAATTAGACACTTAATGTTTAACTAAATATTTCACGGCGCGACTAGTCTTGCTGCAAATAAGAAAAAAGAAAAAGGAATGAAATGATATGTTTACAAATAGGCGTATGTGTGTGTGTGTGTGTGTGGGTGTATGTGTGTGTGTATGCGTATGTGTGTGCATGTGTATGTATGTGCGTGTCCAATTGCAGCAAGCGTGAGATGAAAATTACCGTTGTAGTTATTTAACATAATATTGCGCTGCGCGAATGGAAAAACGTGGCTATTTACTTTCTTTATATTTGCGATTATATAAAGTACGTTAGATATCTGGTATATTCTGACTACGATTTTATCGAACTAAAATTGCTATGAGATATGTGAATCTAATGTGTGAAGGTAACTGTAAACGTAAGTACTGACAAAAGATCTAGTAATCTCTTTGTTTTTATTGTAAAAATAAATATAGGAGTTTGTAAGATATTAGAAGGTAGCCGTATATAAATTTGTTACTGTCTATGCGAAATATTCGAATAGATACCTGACCTGTGTGGTATTAATAAATTATGAACTTTTTAGCACACCCATCGCGTAATTTATTTTATATACATGTGGTTATATATATATATATATATATATATGAAAATTACATCGATAAAGAGAATACACGAAGAGCAAATGACGAGATCGAAGTTGCACGAATATTCTACGTATCGTGCAGAAATTTATGTGTAGAGGACGAATGAATGTTCATGCATCGTAAAAGATTGTGCCTCGCTATACACGACTGTTGTACTGTAACACGTAGATTTTTACAGCATGAACAGTACCGTTTCACGTGCATAACTATAAATCTTGTATAATATGTAGTATCGATATGAAAAAAAAAGAACGTTACCCTTGGTATGTTTCTCAAATTTCCTTTAATTTCCTTCAATTTGCACTTGCAGATTGCAGCGCAATCCTTCAATAAGCTACTCAATGTTGAAATTAAACATCCTTTCGGCTGTGATTCTTCATAAAGGATAAAGAAATCGTCAGGCGACATTTGTTAACAAATGAATAGAAAAATCACAGTTCCTATAGGATATATATTTTAAATTTTTCGTACAAATACGCGCTTCCTTTATGTATCGATATTTGAAATATCGATAATGGTGAAAAGTTAAATTCACAGCTGACTATTCCCGTGTTCCGCTCCTCTCAGCAAAAAGGAAAAGAAGAAATTTGTTCGTTTTTAAAATGTTTAATATTTGTAAATATATATATTCGGTGTAACACCAATTAACAATAATATTACATCAATTTTACAATTATCGCTCTCTCGCATTCGTGACAATTTTGGTCTGAAGCAACTTTTCTACAATTAAAAGTAAGAGGTTTTCGAGAGGGGGAGGCGGGAGAGAAGTAAATTAAAATGGAACATGTGTCGGATTATCGTAAAACAAAGATCCGTCTGACTTGCTGTTGACTCTTGCTACTCGCTACTTGCTACTTATAAAACAATACATCCATCCTGGTCGTTGGGTCCTGCTAGAATCTCGATTCGTAGATTTTACATTCCAAAATATATTTATAAAACAACTAAAGATTCTCTCTTTAAATATGCCAATATGAAATATTTAATTAATGAGTCGATCTTAATTTATTTACTTATGAAATAATAACTTTGCATCGACAGTATCGAATGTTACTGAATTCGCCTTATCATTTTCATCTTCTCTAAGTTTGCATTCATAAAAACGCTGCTCTCGCGCGTTTTATTTCGGTTTTGGCGGTTCGGCGACTGAAAAGAGCACGAGTCTACTCGATCGGTCACAACCGCATCAGGTCGTGCTGTGTCCCGCCGTATGCGTTGCAGTGCGCGTGGGTATAAACGCTCAAGAATTTTATACATTCTCCGTATACGCAACGTTCCATCGCATTCGGTGGTTCGCGTTATGCAACTGTATGGTAATTGTTTAGGTTCCACTTAGCGTCGAGCAGCGATCCGCAGGACCCAGGCATCGGTCAGAGTTCGTCAGTGAGACTCCCTTTCTCTTCCACTCGTCCTTCCACTCGTGCGTCGATTCCGTTCCAACCGGGGTTCTACATTGAATTTATACGCGGTCGACACGTGATCTTTTCTCTCCCCGTCGCTCTTTTACGACAACCTTCAGGATGAATCGCATAATGAAGATTCTCAGGAGCAAGGAAACTCGCGATTACTTTATGAGGCGAGTACTGCTTACGTTCGTTTGTTATTTAGTTCACTCACAGTGACGTTTCGCTAACGATTCTCGCACTGTCATGTTTATATCGTGCTCGTAGTATGAACGATGCTCTGTTTTCAGCACGCACTTTTGGGGACCAGTTGCTAATTGGGCAATACCTATCGCTGCTATCTCCGATATCCGCAGAGACCCCAAGTTCATCAGCGGTAAAATGACCTTTGGTTAGTTCAGTGAACCTTGCCGCGTACCGTGTTTCTCGATATTCTCTCGAGGATTTCGGCTTACAGTGCTTTCTATTCATCTAATTTATCTATCACTCTCTTCGTTCGTCACTTTCAAGGTTTGCCTTATAAACTGAGGTGTAAATATAGTTGTGTTCCTTTCCCTTGTTGCTGTAAACATGATTTTTTTTGTTATAGCTTTAGACACAGTTATCACAGCTACATAGTTTATCTGGTACATGTACAAATTGAATGATTTTTAGAGAAGCAGTAAATATGGAATGAAATATTTGCAAATGATATTTTTGTTATATTGTATAGTTATTTTGAATTTGTTACACTAATTTTATCTGCAATAATTTTATTGTAGCGTACACAAGTATCAGCTATGAATATTTACTTTCTATTTTATCACGAGACTTATAGAAAGCTATGAGAATCAGACCGGCTCTTAGAAAATGTTATTATATCTGCTACTTATAGTGTCAATTTTCAGGACTCTATGCTAATCTTTTTCAGCCTTATGCTTATACTCAGCAATGTTTATGAGATTTGCAATCAGAGTGCAGCCACGCAACATGCTTCTATTCGCCTGCCACTTTGTCAATGAGGGTGCACAAATTACGCAAGGTTGTAGATTTATAAATTATCATTATCTCGGCAAGGAACAGCAGTAGGCCAAAAAATAGATGAAATTTGTTTGCCAAAGTAATTTAAATTTTATATTAATAGCAAATCATGTTATATAAATTGGATCACTTGTTACATATACAACATACAATTTGTTTCTTGATGAATAATAAATATAAATATGTTACAATCAACTTTGTTTTTCTATTGACTTCTAAGATTAATGTAAAGGTATTTCTCTTTTGAAAAAAGTTATTAAAAGAAATGTCAAATATTTCAGTAATTAACAGTAATTAACAGTAATTAACAGTAATTGATATATGTGGTAGCTTTCACATATAAACTCATAAAACATTTTTATTTCATATAAAAGATACAAAATATTTTGATACAAAGAATATTATATTATTAAATTCCAATATGAAAATTATCCAATATGAAAATGATAATAATAAAAATATACCTATATCATCGATATATAACATACAATTCATGACCATTTTATAAATCAGAGGGAATGCAATATCTCATATTTCGTTTCGAGTCGATATTTATAATAAATCTAAGTTACAGAAAATACTAAAATTTATACAAATGGCTAAAAATTGTATTTATACACATTCCTGGAATAACATACACATATTATAAACGCATGTAATACGAGTCTTGTGTATATTGTACTTTCTCTGCAAACAATATTGCCTTTGGATTGCTTTTAAAAATCGACATATATGTAAATTGTTTATAATTGTATATATGTACATATAAAGGCACTGACTGTATTGTCCAAGTCTTACTAAATATTTTTAAATCTTGTTTTAATACAGGCATATGTATTAACATGCTACTTTATATTCTAAAAATGTAGCTTTATATAAAAAAATTATTATTTTATAAATATCTAAGAAGATTTAAGTAAATGGATAACAAATAAAAATTTATATTTCTATAGAACGTAATCTACTTATATATTACATGGGTTGCAAGTAAAAAAAGAAGATCAAACTATTGGGTTGGCAACTAAGTGATTGCGGATTTTGTCGACAGATGGATTTTAACTTTCTTTTGTTTCGTTAACGTATTCAAAGTACCTAATCTATATTTTTTTCTTATTGTTTGGACTTCTACCTTTCATTTAGTACAAAAATTATATCGATTAGTTCTTTAGTTTTGTTTTTATCCCAATTTAAAAATGGAAGAGCAAGACGTGCACTTCAGACATATTTTATTGTATTATTTCCGAAAAGGCAAGAACGCATCGCAAGCACACAAGAAGTTATGTGCTGTATATGGGAATGAAGCCTTGAAAGAAAGGCAGTGTCAAAATTGGTTTGCCAGATTTCGTTCTGGTGATTTTTCATTGAAAAATGCTCAACGATCTGGCCGTCCAGTTGAAGTCGATGAGACCCATATCAAGGCCATTATCGATTCAGATCGTCATAGCACAACACGTGATATTGCAGAGAAGCTCAATGTATCGCATACATGCATTGAAAAAAATTTTAAAAAGCAAATTTAAAATTTTGATTTTTCATTCTTATTTAAAATCCGCAATCACTTGGTTGCCAACCCAATAATACAATCTATTATAGGACGGATTAGAGCATCAATTGTACAACTATCAGATCTTCATATATAATGTCATTAATATAATTATAATTACGGTCGAACGAGAAAAAAGACGAATATATTAATCTCATTCTCTCAATGCTGTATCATGGTAAAATTTCAAAAAGGTACTTATACAATTGTGTTTATAGCACAAGTCAAGCTCAGTATAAATTACATATGTAATATATAAAGTTATAAAAAAATTCTGAACTTATTATTTTATGTACACTCATCGTCACATGCAGGAAACTTTACTGAATAATCCAATTCGTATGACTCTTTTTATTCATTTCTTCAAGACGCTATATCTTGTGCTTGTAATGGACGGTATGAAGGACGGCAAAAGTTATAGTTGCTAGTATAGAAATACGACTATCGATACTTTGCCTTACAAATTACTAAAGTCACCCCGCATTCATCTTCTTTGAAGAGGGAAAAATATTATCATGATTGATAACAGTAGAACCCAACTGGCTTGAATCGACGAAGCACCCGCTAATCGACACTTGAACATATCGTACCTAAAATAGTATGTAAAATCCATAAATCACGTTTGCCACATCATGAGATATAAGTCACATTGATACCTCTGTGATAAGCTCGTAAGGATCCAACGATAATTTTATCATTTGAAAAATAAACAGAAGGTGCTTCAATTACCTCGTCGCATTGTTATCAATAATGTTACCAAATTCGGCCTCCACCAATTGTCCGTCATAGTACGTAATGAGATCCTCGAATGGGTACTCAAAGCCCTGTTTACACTCGCATTTGTATCCACCTGTGTCGAATCCTCTTCCAAGAATAGGTACACACTGCGTACATAAGACTAGAGTTAAAAACTACAAAAAGTGCACCATTCGTAGACGGTGTTTATGCACGGTGAAATTGCAATGAACATCGTTATTGCGCAACAGCGTATCGATATATTATTATATTATTATATTTTACATAACAGACATCTCCGACAAACGATCGTCTATTAACAGTACAATGGAATAACGTCGACTTACATATGACGTCTTTTTGTCGCACTTGTGCGTACCCTTGAATGCGTTTGGTCGGTAAAATTTATCATCACATTGGTTTATGTCTACCTGGAGCAAGTTCATGGTAACAGCTACGACACCCCTGTAAGTGTCTTAATGTTAAATATGATCTTCCTCGTCTCCCCCCCCCTTTTTTTTTATTGCGAAACTGGTTCTTCGTTATAGCGTGTCTCTCACACCGAATTTCTCCGACACACACACACACGCGCGCGCGCGTATATACGCACGCAGAGACACAACCCCCGACGCCGCATCGTGCGATCGCACACGGACGGCGGGAAACACTTACTTGAATTCCAGTTTCTCCTTCAAGCTGTCCCAGCCGAAAAACGGGGATGCATAGGTAATTACCCACTTCTTCAACTCGCCGTTACAATCGAAGTACGGAGTTGTCCAGTGTCCATGGTCCAGGTTTGCTGCCCTACACGGATGGTCCAATGTGCGTTCCCACACATTAGAATAAATCGTACTTTAGAGATCAGATTCCCCCCCAGCCTCCGGAACATAATCCTTTTATACTTTAATGCTCCGCTGTGCTTTATCGTCGGAAGCATCAATAAAGCGCAGTCGTCGGGAGCGCGTAAATTTTGCGATAAACAATCGTTCCGCGAGGCGCGCTATATTCCTTACCTGTAGAAATTCGGATAGTGCTCGAACTTTTTCATATATTCCCCGGTCTCGTTGTATCGGATCTTGATCTTCATGTAATACTTCTCCAACTGGTCGAAGTTCGTCGCCCAACGCTGCTTCAGTGTCTGGAAGTAATCCTTCTTCGTGTACACCTCGTCTGTAACAAAGCGAATAACAACGAACTTACCATATGCCACAAAACTTTCGCGATTCATTCCACGAGAATTAATCGTATTTTAAACTCGATTTGTTTTCTACAAGAACAGAGTCTCGCTCCTCACCTGTATTGTTGAGTCTCGCCAAGTCCTCGAGTTTAAATTTGCGCGTGTTTAGTTCCTTTTTGTAGGCGTAGGGAGCGAAGAACGTTCGGTTGGTAAATTTGTTGCGGTCCCAGAAAGTCCCGGCTGACCATATCTTCGTGTCGCCCATAACCAGAGCCAATGTCTCCCCGAACATTTGATCTTCCGTGAGCGGCTTATCGGCCAGCCTCTTGCCGGAGTAAACCTCCAGAGGATCGGACACTTGCAGGAACGCGCTGATGAAGTTCGCTAATCTCGTCGCCATCTTGGCCTCATTTTCGAAGAACTCCTCCGCGCCGAAGCTAATGTCGCCGCGTAACTCCAAGTCCTGCGGCGCGTACCTAGAAAAGAGATTCGAGAATACCGTTTACGTTTAATCAGGACACACGCGACGTGACCGTCGCACTTACTTCTTGCAGCGGTGTTCGTCCATGTGTAGAATAAAATCGATGGCTTGTTTGATATTGATCTTTTTGTCGTGCAACGCGGCCAGACCGGTCGAATAATTCCTGTAGTGAGGATACTGCTCGAGATACTTTTCTCTGACATAAGGCTCCGCTTTATCCCATTGTACCGGCATCTTATGAATCCCTGTGGAATAAAATTCTCATTAGAGCGCTTTATGTCGAACAATAGCCAAAAGTTTGAGTCAAAGAAGAGGAAAGGAATGTGCGTACAGCCGATGCGCGAGCAATCGAAACCATTATAGTATTGTTCTTGCGTAGCTCTCTCCACTATCTCTCCAAGGAACGGTCGTCGTACGACAGTTGGCAGTCTGTAACCGGGTTTACATCTGCATTGATATCCTCCTCTTCTGAAGCCCCAGCCGTGTATTGGTTCGCACTGTGTATACAGCGAGATAATGAGTATCGATTATTAATTAACGAAAATAACTTAATTTAATATATTATGACGTTGCAAATTACCTCTGTAGTTTCCTTCTTGCATCTTGCAGTATTGGCAAATCTATTGGGACCGCTGTTTCCTCTACCCTTGGGACACTGATTTATATCTATCCTGTCAAAGTCCATTTCCAACACTGAGATAGCAGTGTACCTGTAACAATTATATATATATATATATATATGTACATGTTATACCAATATAAATCAAATTTATACACCAATATTATGGGAAAGAGAGAAACTTAAAGAAACAGACATGGGCTGTTCTAAGATCTAAATGTGTTTATTATATCGCGATAAAAACTTACGTTGGGTATTCAATATGTCTGAAGCCTGTGTGCCGTGGGTAGATGTCTGCTATAGGCACTACTGCAGCAACTATCCAACGATTGGATCGACCACAGTCGAAGTAAGGTCTAGTCCATTTCACAGGCCCAGGATTTTCATCAGCACCTGAAAGATAAATTGTAATAAAAAACAGATACCATCTAAAATTCACTTCTATTGTTTTTAGTTCTCTCATTCTCTCATTACCGCGTGGTCCATGGAAGGTGAATGTTTCATTCGTATTGTTGGCATATCGAATTTCAACCTGATAAGTTGTTTTAGTATCATGTCTATTTGCGACATTATCAGGCAGCCATTTTTTGTACCTGTGAAAAGAAATAATAGAAATAATAAAAACATAAGAACTGCTATGAGATAATCAGTCAATCAGAGCCTTATTCAAAACTTAGAAGTTTAAGATATAAATTTCTGCTGATAAAGGAATATTCTCACTTACCATTCATTTATGCGATAAAAATCACTACTATAATCACTGCTGAATCTAGTAGCAGGAAACGCGCCAAGATCCTGTACAGTAAATGTATTCCTGGTAGATATTCTTTCCAGATGTATAGGATCGTTGAAGTCATCTGCCCTAAAGGTACGCGGTGCAAATTTAGGCATGGTTTTGTTGAAGAAGCCTCTGTAGGACGGTGAGTAGGACATATTGGGTGAAAAATAGATGGCTGAGGCGTTGATGTAAGGATTGGCAGAGACGTCAGCTACTGTAGATAGGAAATAGTACATCATGCCAGGATCGTAAGTGTCGTTGATCGCGGGTCTGATGAAGCGCGACTGCAGGATGTAACTCCAGAAGAAGGATCTGCTGAGGGCCATATTCTGGAGGTGCAGCAGGGCAGTGCGATTCGGAAACACAGGATTGACATCGATGTCCTTGATTTCGGGCAAGTGCGACACCGTGTTCTCCGGCAGATACAGATCCCCGATGTGCTGTATCTGGCAGTTATCCTCAGTCACTTTATCCATTTTCATACGGATCTCGTCGAAGGCGTCACGGGTTTGCCACTCATACTGGCCGACCACGACAACGCCCATCAAGAGGCAACAAAGAAAAACAGGCGTCTTATGACGAGTGATAGCCATCTTCGAGGAGAACACGTGTACTCTTACGGTCGAAACGAGCCCGCCGTTTGATCCTACTGCGTGTTATCGCTGCTCGAGGCACTCGATGAGTACCTTCATAAGCACTTGGTTAACTTCGGCATGTACCACGCTTGCCTTTGGCTTCCTTCCGCTCAACTTTCCTCCTCGCTTCTCTTTCCTTCCCCTTTTCTCTCGGATATCAATCGACGAAGATCTGCGTCATGTGTTGCCACTGTTTATTACGGATCACGTAGGATCTCGATCCTAAAAGACAGAACTAATCTCCTGCACGCTCACCTACGTCGAACGCGCGCTAGCTCTCGACCGCGTCGGAGTAAACACGCCCAGTCGAGCAGGGCGCGTTTCACGAGTTTCCCGATTGCTATGACGTCATCTGGCTAATGTATGCCGCGTTGACGTTAACTTTCGACGTGTATCGGCCACTCACCCGCGCCGCCGGGCGCCTGTGTTCCCTTCCACAGGACGACGACAATCAAAAGTATCGGCTCGTTGCTGTATAAATAACAATCGACAATTCGGTCGCATAATTTGGCCGCAACGAGCAACGAGCGGTAGAAAAGGCCGAACTGTCGGCCGGTACGCGCGTTTTTCTAACGCGGAGGATGCAGGATGCATTGGCAGGAACGAGACTTGTGAACTCCGAACTTGGAGAGCCGCTCGAATATTTCTATGAGATATCTTCGCTTATTCGCATTTTGCTTATCTGCGATGTCTTTCTTTTCAACTGTGCGCGGAAAATCTCACGATTGTGCAATCGTGCAGCAAAAATCATCATCGAGATTTGTTCTCTATTGCCGAAGTTGTGTAGTGTGTACACTTTCGGGTCACTTGAAAAGAGACAGACGTACAAGTGGGAAGGCTTGCTGAAGAGGAGAGCAAAAGAGGAGAGCAAAAGAGAGGTGGCTGCAAAGTAGTGCAGCCGGTTGAAAACGGTATAAAACAAATCCCATGATTGGTGCACACTTTTAGACCTACCAATGACATCTGTCCTCCAGAAGTCAGTCACTCGATCGTCGTGTGCTCCGAACGTAGCTTCCGTTTCAATCCTCTTTTCGGAAATTACGGCGCGAGCGTAGGATCTCTAATAATAGGCGTGATTAATCCCGACACGAATCTCCTTGAGGAAGCTGCTCCGATGAGACGTGTCTATACGAGACATCTGTTTCCGGATGCGACGCCCTCGCATCCTCGCTTTTTTCCTTCCTCATTCCGATCGGACGTTTCCGACTCGGACGGTCTCGCGTCGTCTCGACGCGCTTCGAAATTCCCGCGCTCTCCGCGAGCTAACCTAAAAGACGACGGAAACCCGTCGCTGCACACAAGCGGAGCGGAGCGATCGAATCGCCGGGATTCTAATTACGATTCCACCCGGTGATTTTTTGCGTCGCGCGTCTCGGGCCTCCCCTACGCACGATTCTCGACTCGTCCCACGACCCGGGTGTCGTCGTATACCCCGGCTATGCTTCTCTACCGCGTACGTCGCGCGGAAATAAAGAAGCACTTCCCCGCGCCGCCGTGAGGTAAGGGTTCCCAGAGCGTAAGAGGAAAACAAAAGTATGACTTAATACGAGATAACATTTAGGCGGCTATTATTATGATAATCTACATAGCGCCCTGGTCCAACGACCCCCCGAGGATCCTTCGCTCCTCCTACCGCCCCTGTCTCCTCTCCGCCTCTCCCCCCGTTCATCCCGTTCGGGAGGGCCGGGGAGAGGGGGAAGTACACGGCTGTTCCACAGGCGGTGGTATTATTGTCACAATACAGGTTCACCCCTATTTATCCGCGAAAAAGGGAGAATTTCTCTCAGCGCACGCAAACGAGTTTCACGATGAAGGAGAGAGAAGAGACAGCACAACTCGCTGGGGGTCCGGCCCCCGTTAATGCCACGCTGTTTATGCCGTGCTCGGGGGGGCCCCTCCTGAGAAAAATCTTCCTCACTGTCTGCTGCAGAACGTACGTACTCTTGCTTGCCGGCCTGCCTGCCTGCCTGCCTGCCTGTTCGTCCTCCTCGCAACGAAACGCACCGCGTGTGTGCGTATGTGTGTATGTGCGGATCGTCGCCGATATTAACGTGGGAAACAAACCGAACCTGCGCGACGCGGTCATTAAGTATTGTCGTCGTCGTCGTCGTCGCCGCCGTCGTCATCGCCGTCGTCGTTGTCGTCGTCGAAGAAAAATCCCCGACGATTGTCGCCCGTTCTCTCTCAGCTGCCGTGCCGAGCATCGCTCGATGCACGCTGCTCCTCCGCGCGCGCACACACTTGGGGTGCGCGCGTCTTCTACTAATAGACCCGCTCACGTGGACGTATCCCGTATCGCGCGCACTGTCGGCGGTATTCGTCATCGGTACCTTGAAATCCGCTCCGACTCGCATTGTTCGCGATACACCGCGATACGTTGCCGAATTGCTGCTGTAATTGTACATTCTCCGGGAAATTGTACATCGAGAGCAGATAGAAAATGTACAGAATAAACTCGGACACGGAATATAAAATTTAGAGAGTAAAGGGAACGAGATGAACCGTAACGACCGATTTGATTCCCGAGAGAGAGAGAAAGAGGGGGAGAGAGAGAGAAAGAGGGAGAGGGAGTGTATGTAAAAGACTCGTATAAACATGACAAGTGTGTGTGTGTGTGTGTGTGTGTGTGTGTGTGTGTGTAACATAGACATTTTTATTTCATCTTATTTCTTTATCTTGAGCGGATAAATCTCTATTAGTATCCAAGTATTTATATGATTGTAGAGAGCAGAGATAACGTAGCGTATATCGTGTATACGCAAGTGCGACAAAAGAACAGGAAATCGAGCGAAGCATCGCGCGTTCCGATTTTGCATCAATTGACGAATTGCAGCCGGATGTATGATTTGCGAAGATTATTCTCACGATGAACGCGCAGGAGGCTCATGCAAATCCAGCTTAACGCGTATATATTTTTCTTCGCGGCACAGAAAACGTACGCAGATGTAGAACTTAGGTCCCGAAGTTCGACGCTCCGTAAGAAAATTATCCAATTGAATCGATTGGCGTAAAGTGTGCTGCGCTGAACTTAGGACGCGTGGCGGGAAAATAGTTGGAAATGCGCTTCTTTTTATTCGTAAATTAATCATCGAGCGTGCTGAAAGTCACACACTAAAGCAGGCCGCGCGTCCAACAGAGAGACTCCGCTCGTCCTTTTATATTTATTTTCCTTCCCACGTGCTCTCGCACGAGCGCCTCGCTACCCACACGCATCCGTTCGCCTCTCCACGATTCTTTGTGAATAATAATTTCATTTTCGTCGCGTCTTTTCCAATGTACACGCTCTCACACAAAGTAAAAAAGGTTTCTCCTTCCCGCCATCCCCGCCCTCCCCTCTTCCTTTTCCTCTTGCTCCCGTCCCTTGGAATCGTTGGAAACCTTACCGCAGAAACAGAGACATGACGCGTTCATCGGACGAAAAACAAAGACCGGATCTCATCTAGCCGAACCACGCGCTCGAAGCCGGCAAATTTCCGCAGGAGGCGAAAGAACCTGTTTGTCTGAAAGGGGGAGGGAGAGAGAGAGAGAGAGAGAAAGGGGGGAGAGAGAGGAAATAAAAGAATACTTTTTCTAAGGTCTGCTTTTCTCGAGAAACAGACGCGAATACGGATAAATCCGTCACGATCATTATTATCATAATTCCGCGCGCGCGGCTTCGCTCACTGAAGAGTCTCGTCGCGATGCGAGAGGATGCCTGTGTACGTTGCACGGCCCAGTCTCCGCGCGGAGGGCCCAACGCAACATGGAGCGCGCATTGCGAAACGCACGTGCGAATACGTAAATACGCGCAAATAGCTCGTCATCGTCGTCGTCGTCGTTGTCGCGTCGCGTCTCGTCGCATCGCATCGCATCGCATCGCGACGCGGCGTCGAATCTCCGAAAACACAAACGGAGATTCGCCGGCGTGAGTTGCGCGTCGCTGAAATTTCAACCTCCCACGACAATGGCGCGCGCGAGGACCGTGCAAAAAGTGCATTGTCTACACGGCGCAGACGGTCGATTGGTGCGACGAGGACGACGCGAGGAATCGAGTCAGAGGGCGAGAGAAGAGGCAGAGAGACTGTGTGCGCGAATGAGGGAGACAGAGAAAGAGAGAGAGAGAGAGAGAGAGACAGAGAGAGAGAGAGAGAGAGAGACAGAGAGAGAGAGAGAGAGAGAGAGAGAGAGAGAGAGAGAGAGAGGGAAGGAGGGAAAAAGAACGAACGTGCGAGCGCGAGCAAGACAGACAGGGAGGACAAAGACGAAGGAACGCGAGACTACGCTACGACGAGGAGGAGAGGGTTGAGCGAGAGAGGGAACGCGGGAAAAAGGGGCGAGAGGGCGAAGCGTGGAGACGGGAAACGTATGTACATACGTATGTACGTACGAGCGACGCTGTTCGAAGGAGAGAATTGAATTTTTGCGGCGAGAGTGCGGCCGGCCGGCCGCTCGCCCGACCGTCTGTCTGACCGTTGATAGTTTTCAGGATGGCCCGCTTCCGGCAGAGCAGGCGCGGCGCAGCGCGATGCGACGCGCCGCAGCACCCGGCCGGCCTGCCGGCCGGCCGGCCGGCCGGCCTGCCTGCCTGCCTGCCTACCTGCCTGCCTGCCTGCCTGCCTGCCTGCCTATCTGCCTATCTGCCTACCTGCCTGCACGCGTGCCTGCCTGCGTGTCTGCCTGCCTGCCTGGCTGGCTGACTGGCTGGCTGGCTGGCTGACTGGCTGCCTGCCTGCCTGTCTGCCTGCCTGCCTGCCTGCCTGCCTGCCTGTCTGCCTATCTGCCTACCTGCCTGCACGCGTGCCTGCCTGCCTGCCTGGCTGGCTGACTGGCTGGCTGGCTGGCTGGCTGACTGGCTGCCTGCCTGCCTGCCTGTCTGCCTGCCTGCCTGCCTGCTTGCCTGCTTGCCTGCCTGCCTGCCTGCCTGCCTGGCTGGCTGGCTGGCTGGCTGGCTGCCTGGCTGGCTGGCTGGCTGGCTGGCTAGCTGGTTGGCTGGCTGGCTGGCTGGCTGGCTGGCTGGCTGGCTGGCTGGCTGGCTGGCTGGCTGGCTGGCTGCCTGGCTGCCTGGCTGGCTGGCTGGCTGGCTGGCTGGCTGGCTGGCTGGCTGGCTGGCTGGCTGCCTGCCTGCCTGCCTGCCTGCTTGCCTGCCTGCCTGCCTGCCTGCCTGCTTGCCTGCCTGCCTGCCTGCCTGCCTGCCTGCCTGCCTGCCTGCCTGCCTGCTTGCCTGCTTGCCTGCCTGCCTGCCTGCCTGCCTGCCTGCCTGCCTGCCTGCCTGCCTGCCTGCGTGCGATCTCGGCAGATAAAAATAATCGCCAAGAAAGTAGAAAAGTTCCGAGTCGAACAGGTTTCTGCAGGGCGAGTCGACGCGTTCACGCTCTCTCTCTCTTCCTTTCTTTCCCTATCTATCTCTGTCTCTCTTTCTCTATCTCTGTCTCTCACTCGTTCGCGCTTCGTCAGGCCGCGACGCGCCGTCGGAGGGACGCGGGTGCGTGCTCCGACCAGACGGGTGGCTTACGGTTGAAGCAGGGCCGTAGTTCGTCCGATCGCCGCCCGGCCGCCTTCCGTGCCACGAGCGCGGGACTTATCGCCGAGGTCACAGACGCGCACGTACGTATGAATGTGCGTGCGCGTGTACGTGCACGAGTGCATGCATGCATATACGCGCCCACATTCACCGTACAAAATTCGCGCGGCTGAAGAGAGGGATGATACGTAGCGGCATGCGCGCGATCGTCGCGGCTGTCCCTTTCTCTCGCCGGCGGTTTGCCGCAGTTTTGTCAAAAACTGCTCCTCGCGCTCTTCTCCGATCCCCGATTTTGCTCTCCGTCATAGCGAGATGCGAGGTTCCTTGACATTGCCTCGTTCTCTTGCGAGAGAAAGAAGCACGCTTCTTTTACACACACTCTCACTCTCTCTCTCTCTCTCTCTATCTATCTATCAATCTCTAGTTTTTCCTCTTTCTCCGTCAGGTCGTCGGGGTCCTTGGGGATCGGGAGTCGCGTGAAATGTTTTGATAGCGCGTTCGTTTACCGCAGACATAGAAAAAATAGAACATGTACTGTGGAGCTTTATTGGATTGTTACGGTTTACAAAGTTTTACATAATGGCATGCTATAAGATAACGTCGCAACTTCGGTCGTCCATGTAACCTCGCTATATCCGACAGTTACATTCGGAATCGATATAAAGGGAGCACCTGAAATACAAACACTGTACGGTTCTGAGAGAAAGAGAGAGAGAGAGAGAGAGAGAGAGAGAGAGAGAGAAACATAGGAGATTATATTTTCAAACTTCTCTACCATACGGCTCTTTCGTTCTTTCTTGCTGTTCAAGCTGCACCGAGAAATTGAGTGTAGCCGTCACCATATATTTTTCTGACATTCCCCTCGCAGGACGCAACGGAAAGCGTGCGGCAGACTTCCCTTTAGCCGCTCATAAGGTTCAGCTGCGGCGATGACCTAGATCGATGCAACATGTAGAAGCAATAATCGGTTAACCATGTTAATTAGCGTCGACGTGACGTAGCCTGTTCGACATGTTCGATTGTTCTCTAAAATTCGCCGAATGTTTCCGAGTATCGGAATCGCAGCATATACACGATACAAATGACAGAAATTTAACAAAGCTTCGACATCTCCATGCAGGTGAGAGAGCGCTTCTTTAAAAGGGACGAGAATTTTTACACGATACCACACTCTTTCTCTCTCTCTCTCTCTCTCTCTCTCTCTCTCTCTCTCTCTCTTCCTCATATCCATGTAAGCGAAACGTGCGGATGCTAATCTAAGGGCCTTTTCTACGCGTCTTCGCGTCCGCGTGGAAAAAGTGGAAGAGCAGGAGGGAAAGGGAGAGGGAGACAATATACGAAATATGGTAGTCGGAAATTTCTCGCGCGCATGCCGCCATATCATCGTCATCGTCATCGTCATCGTCATCATCATCGTCGTCGTCGTCGTCATCGTCGTCGTATCGTCAAAGCGGTTAAAAGCGTGGAAGGAGCGAATCGGGCCCCTCGCGACGGCCCTGGCGTAAGGCGGGGCCCGCGAATACTGCGAAGAGAGGTAAGCGGTTGAATCGGATTGGACTGGGGCGCGACGCGGCGGCGAGCGCGATCAAACTGGTTTCGGTTTTGTGGGGCTTGCACCGCTGCACCGCTCTTTCAGCGAGGCAGTCCAATTTATGCATCACGGCTATGTAGGCACTACACGAGATATCAAAACGCTGCGCCCGGGCCACTAAACTCCACTCACCGTTGTCTCGTCGTCTTCGTCGTTATAATAATAATAATAATCATCATCATCGTCATCGTCATCGTCGTCGTCATCGCCGCCGTCACCGCCGTTGTTGCTGCTGTTGTTGCTGTTGTCCTCGTCAGTAAAAAAACCACCACGGAATTTGTGTGTTTGTTCGTCCGACTGTCGTCTCGTTTTTTTCTCGTTCGCGGTTTCGTGCGCTCCGTGACGGTCGATCATCACACACAAGTGCCTACGCGACTAAATTCAAGAACCCGAAGGAACCGTCGCAACCGTGACACACGCATGGCCACGCGATAAAACGGGCGTTTCTCTCGTCGTCGTCATCATCATCGCCACCGCCGCCGCTGTCGTCGTCGTCGTCGTCGTCGCCGCAGCAGCAGCCATCGTCGTCGCTGCCGCTGTTGCCGCCGATCGTCTTTTACCACCCCCTCGTGCCGCTCGCGCGCCGCGCTCGCATATATTCTCGGTGCAGTCTACGCGCAACGGCGTGAACGTGACCGCGAGTGCCACCGCCTCCGCTGCCGCCGTCGCCGCTGCTGCCGCCGCCGCCGCCGCCGTCGTCGCTGCTGCTGCCGCCGCCGCCGCCGCCGCCGTCGCCGCCGCCGCCGCCGCCGCTGCCTGTCGTCAATTCTGAAGTACGAGGAACGCGGAAAGAAAGAACTGTGACGTGCCAATTAATATGAGTTTTACCACACCCGACGGGAGATCCTGACTGTTTTCTTGTGTCGTCGTCTCCTGGTGTTTCACCGTCGCAACGACCACGCTAAATTGTTACCGGTGAGGAGTACAAACTCGGCACAGGTACACACGCATTTATCTCATTAGTATATGTGTCCTTCTGCTCGCTCTTTCTCTCTTTATGTTGCATACTCGCCCTTTCTCTCTCCGCCTTGCGCGACTTGTGCGGAATCGCCGCCGCCGCTTTGTCTACGCGCGAGTTTGACCGGACGAGTGCATCGACGCGTCTCTCCTCTCCTCGTCCCTTCTCGTCTCGTCTGTTTCCGCTCCGCTCTGCTCCGCTCTGCTCCGCTCCGCTCCGCTCCGCTCCGCTCTTCGCCTTTTCTCGCTCTCTGTCTCTGTCGCGCGACGTTCAACATGTGGGAGGTTATAATACCCGAGGCGACTTGAGAAAAAAAGGAGCACACGCGTACGTCGATCGCTCGGCTTTTTCCTCGTCCGCGATAAGTGCGCGTATTTCTTCTCCCAACAGACGTCTCGCCTCGTTGCGGAACGGATCGTTTGCAGGAGACGAGAGGGGCGAGAGGAGCGGGAGCGGAGACGGGCTCTATCTTCGCGCTCGGACGGTACCGAATCGCGCGAACGCGACGCGCCGAGATAATTCGAGATCTTAACGATCGCGCGCGCGACGAGCACACGCCATGCACGACTGCATCGCGTGCACTCTGGGGATCCTCCGCGCCGGACTGTTATGGCTTCTTCCTCTCGCGGCTCTCTGAAATGCATCGCGCGCGGCACGCTTGGCGGGCTCGCGCCGGCCGGTAACGGATGCCGCCGCGTCGTGGCCGACGGCCTCTCAATATGGCATGAAAATCACCGGAGAGACCGCGATCCTCACGACGGAATGCGCGCGGAAGTCTGTTTCTGAAAAATCAGAAAACCTATTTTTCTCTCTCTCTTTCTCTCTTTCCGAGTCCACCTCTTGCTCCTCCTGTATCTGCGACACACACGGCGGTCTTGTGAAAGCGGCAAGTGTGAGATACGCAGCCGACGAGGATTTATCTACACACAGAGATATCAGCAGAAGGCGGTTGTTGCTACACGCGGCCGAAGTGTGTTTCGCGCGAATTCGCTCATAATGGCGTGCTCGTGAGAGAGGAAAGGGCGCGCGCACGCGAAAACAGGAACGAGGGCGAGCGCGAGGAATGGCGAGGGCTCGCGCCGGCGACGATGTATGGGCGGGCGGGCGCGTTTCGCCGTTATTCGCGGATTTTCGAGATCTCCAGCGGGACTAACCTCTCCCCGACGTCGCCGCGAATATATTCACGATCCCGCGTGATGTTCGCCGCGAATATACGTTGTTGCCGCGCGCGTCCGAGCGAAGGAACGAGAGACTCGCGTTCTCCCTCCCTCCCTCTCCCTCTCTCTCTCTCTCTTCGAGTCGCTCTCGCGCGAATTTCGTGATTTCACGAGGATAACCTCGCCGCGCGTGTTCGCGAATATTCCGTTCCGCGTGATCACTTCGTTGCGTGAACACGCGCGTTATCATCGCCATCGTGTCGTCTCCCGCGCGTACATACGTGTATGAATCTCCGTATACGTACACACACATACACACGCCACGTCGCGTGTGTGTGCGTGCGAGTGATCGCCGCGCGGCTTGAGCCGCGAGCGCGCTCTGTGAGCGCGGGGCGGCCGACTTTTTCCCGTCGGGCCGTTTCGCGCGCGCCAATCAGAATTCGCGCGAGCGCGGCCACGGCGAGAAAATGGCCAACGTCGTGTCGCTGGGTTCGAGCGTATCTTTGCGCGTCGTTTTGTGAACCCCGTAGTCCACAATCACGTTGACGTCTGTCGCCATTTCCTCGCGCGGAGGATCGCCCGTCCGTTTATTTCGCAAGGTAACGATCTACCGTCGGTTCCGCGCCGCCGGCGCGTCCGTGTCGTCGCGCGGCATCGCGGCCGCGTCGCCGCGGCCGATTTTAACGAGCGCGAGTGCGAATACGGCCGGCCCGAAGGCGCCGAAAACGGCGCGATCGCGCTACGCGACCACGAGTGCATATAGGTGCATCCGTACCATGGCGGCCGCCGCCGTCATCGTCGTCATCGTCGTGTGAGAACGTGTACGCTTGCATCCGCCGGCCGGCGAGCCGAAAACGCGAGAGGAAGTGAGAGAGAGAGAAATAGTGACGATCTCGCGAGGCCCGGCTGTCGGCGGAAAATTACGGACGGGTGAATATCTGCGGCGCGGTTTGCCGCGCAAATTCCGGTCTGCCGTGGCGACGATGACGACGACGACGACGACAAGGAGGAGGAGGAGGAGGAGGAAGAGCAGAACGACGACGATGACGACGACGACGAGGAGCGATCGCGTTCGTCGAGGCTAATCGGCGCACGCGAGTGTCATCGATAACGTTGCGGTGCACGGCGGATGCACGGCCGCGCGTGCCAGTTCGCCCGTCTCTTGTCTCTCGCAACTCGCGGAGTCGGAGTATTCACGATCGGTTACTCGCGACGTTGTCTCTTCCTCTCTCCTCCTCCCCCCTCTCGTGTGTCTCTCTTTCTCTCTCTTCTTTCTCTTTTTATTTCATCGCGCGCTCGCTGCCGAGAATTTCTGATCCCGGCCAGATTCCCGTACCGGAACGCGCCAATATCGACGTTGCATTCACGGCCGCTTCCATGTCGTCTTGCACTTCTTCGTCGCGATCGTGCGTGCATTTCCGATTGCGTGATCCGAGCGAATACGAAATATCCACGCTGGTAGCTCTCGCGCATACCAGTTTTTTTCCCCTCCCGGACTCCTTATCGTCGCGTATTTTTCGAAAACGTGTTTTTCCTTTTTTTTTCTCCGCCGTAGATGCAGTTCTCCCTTTTGACGAACATGTTCTTGGGATAATGAGCTCGATTGAAGCGTAATTAATAAAATTTGCTACGTTATACATTACTACCACTTCGTTAAAGTAAGCACGATAATTATATGCAATGAGTCATAGTTTTATAAGCGCAGTGTTGTATATATGTGAAGTTTACTAGTCTTTTATAGCTTTATGGCTACTATTTTTTTTTTTTTTTTTTTTACTACTTTTCGTATTTACATAGTTTTTAATCAAGACTCTGAAATTATTTTTCTCAAAAAGTATTTTCTCGTTTCTTTGTTTAATCTCCATGAAAGCAAATAAAGCAAATATATATATATATGTATATAGATATGTGCAATAATTCAATGGAAAGTACAACAAAAGATAAATTTGTTATAATATATATGTTTACTCATGATAGTTATTCATGCATTAGATAATATAGCTAATTCTGCATTGAATACAAGATTATTTAACTATGTGAAAAATGATTTATATAATGAGATAGAAATACTTTTGTTCATTATCTTATATTATGATGAGAAGAAACATTGTTACTTGATATATTTCATTATTATATGGGTTTTTTAATCAAAAGCATCATATACTTTTGCAGTGTGTAGTACAAAAAAGAAAGTTCAGTAATTTATACCTTACTTGGCATATTGAAAAAAAGATAAAAGACTTTGATAAACAATAATAGGTATTATTGTTCCAGCTATGGCAGAAGGGAATGGGGAGATAAAAATGGAAGAAAAACAGTCAAAGGAGGAAATGGAATATGTGGAACGGACAGAAGACTTTAACAAACTCATGCAATACGGACTGGACGAGAAAGTGGCTGCCAAACTGGATGAGATCTATAAAACAGGAAAATTGGCTCATGTCGACCTGGATGAGAGGGCTCTCGATGCTCTAAAGGAATTCCCAGTTGACGGTGCGCTAAATGTACTCACGCAATTTCTAGAGTCTAATTTGGAACATGTATCTAACAAATCTGCATATCTTTGCGGAGTGATGAAGACATACCGACAAAAGAGTCGTGCTGGTCAAGGTACAGGCACCAGTACGACACCAAAAGCTCCAGATGAGGACAAAATCAAGGTGATTTGAAAAGCTACACGTCTGATTGGTTCTAAATTCGATTTTGGACTTTCTCAACTAGCCACTAGTTATTGTTTAAATACACAGTTACAAATATATAATTCTATAATGGATAAAACAAACAATTGCAGATGATTCTGGAAAGAACAGGATATCCTTTGGATGTGACTACTGGACAAAGAAAATACGGTGGTCCTCCTCCAAATTGGGAGGGTCCTACACCTGGCACTGGTTGTGAGGTAAATTTTTATATGCATATATTTACTTGCGAATAAAACATATTTTAGGTTTTTAATTATATATTCTAATTACTTTGATTAAAAAAATTTTTCTATTACGAATACATTAGATATACTCAGGCATATATATATATATATATATATATATATATATATATGTGTGTGTGTGTGTGTGTGTGTAGCATATGGGCATTGGAATTTTCATCTGAAAGATTTTCGAGTAATTTAATTCCATGTAAATTTGAATTGTTTCGAATATGGAAACATGTTTGGTATTCGAAGTGGTACATTTTTCGATTCTATCTCTATATAATAGTCATTAAAAAATATATATACATATAAAACCTTGTCAATTTTAGAAGATTTGTACATTAAACATTTACATTTACATGTATTTATTTATTTATTACATCAAATATTTCTGTGAAAAGGTATTTTGTGGCAAAATCCCAAAAGACATGTATGAAGACGAATTAATTCCATTATTTGAGAAATGCGGAAAAATTTGGGACTTGAGACTGATGATGGACCCCATGTCAGGTTCCAACAGAGGATACGCATTTATCACATTTACAAACAGGGAAGCTGCGCAGCAGGCTGTCCGAGAGGTATGTTAATATCTTTCCATAGATCTATTATTATTGTGTAGGTACATGATGTATAAACTTATTTTTTGCCCTATAGTTATTAACGCGCCGTTCTATGGACAATCTGGACACTTTTTTATTTTTTTATTTTCAAAATTTTTGGAAATGTTACAAAATTGTTATTGCTACCAAGATATGCGATCCTTCGAAATGTTTATGAAAATTAATTGATCCAAAGTTTCATTATGCTTCATGAAATTTATACAATTTTGACGTATCGAGAATACCTTACATTTTTTTTTTTTCTTTCTTAAATCTACAGATGGATTCTGTTTACAGATAATTTATTCAGAGCTATAGCTGAGCTATAATAAAAAATATGCTAATCGATGAATAAGAATATAGCGAAGATGTATATATATCTATGTTGACTATGTTTTCAAGAATTTGCTTTTCTTTGCTGAACATTTCGAATGACTGTTACTGTATTCCTATGTGGCTTGTTCTGTATTGTCTCTTATATTTCTTTGTCTCTCCTAGTAGATTTAATGCAAACATTTTATTATTTCAAGTCTATGTCATTCTTATTTCTTTAATTTGTTTACCTTTAAAATATATAAATATATACATATATATATATATTTATAGCTAGGAACAATCCACATAATGTATGTTTCACATGTATATGTCCCTGACCATTTATTCGTGTTTAAGTACGCAGTTATATCCAACTGATCCCAAACATTGAGTAACACAGAAATATATATTAATGATGTCCTCTGGATGAGTTTCTTTTTCCAGCTCTCCTCTTTGCTCAGTGGGCAAAATTGGGAGTGGAGAACCTTTCCGAAAAATCACGATGATTGTGTGGTCTAATTGGTTAGGGGTATATTTACCTAATTGGTTGACTCTCATTGGACAGTGACAATTTTTGTAACAAAATTTTGAAAATTGGTAGGCTTAAAATTTGTTTACAGGAATACAATGATACCGTGAACGCCGGTTTGCTATATTGTGAAGACTCGAGCGACAAAGCGCATGCCACTTTCTCGCTTTCATGGACCCGACGCCATGTTAATTAATTGTACTAAATTGCACATTTTTGAAATTTTCCCAAAAAAAAAAGAAAAGAAAAGAAAAGAAAAAAAGAAAGAAAAGCAAACAAATCCGCCATCTCGTCGTAATTATCTTAAAAACATGAACCGCCCCTCATTGGAACAAAATTAGGCATGTGTCTGTTTTCTTCATCCCACAGCTCGATAATCACGAAATAAAACCCGGCAAGAGTCTGAAAGTAAACATTAGCGTTCCTAATCTACGACTTTTCGTGGGGAACATACCAAAGTCAAAAGGCAAAGAGGAGATCTTGGACGAATTTGGTAAATTAACAGGTAAAGTGAATTCGAGGCGTGTGTACCTACCTACCTACCTATACCTACCTGTCTACCTGTATTGTAACTTAAGAGTGGTAGCTTTTAAGTAGTGGTTGTAGATGGTATGGAACTATGGAGCATCCGAGGATCACATTGATTCTTGTGATCTGCGATATTACCTATGGCACCTTTAGTTCTGGTCAGTCTCCTTGCCTCTCGGTTTATTAGTGAACAGTAACACCTCTCTGGTCCAAGTCTTCTTTTCCTCGCATATTTAGGTTGAGTTATGAGTTTATCTGCTTCCTCTTCTATACATGCGATTACCTTTGTCATCCCCCTGCCTCCTCGTTTCCTGATTTTATGCAACTGATCAATTCATCAATCTTTACTACTGATAGCTTCTTCGTCTTCTTTTTTTGGAAAGGTGAAAAAGAGGCGAGGAAATGGAAAGAGAAAATGTGGAAGCCATATATACTTTAGATTAAGAATTATTTTATATATATATATATATACATACATATATATACATATATATATATATCTACATACATATACTGACAGAAAAATAGACACGCTGTCTTGCACCATTGCAATTTTGCAATATGCAAATGTGATATTCATGACTAAGTCTCAAGCTTGGGGGTATGGGAGATCTGCGTGGACCGCTGGGGCGTTTGGCTCGCTAACAAACGGACAGGCACTCCCACCCACCACCCTGTATGATATCGTTCCTCGAATTACCGTACGATCCACGATCCTTCGAGTCATGCTTTGGTCCTCTTATGTAAAATTTTTCCCCGAAGGACGCTTCATGAAATCCCACGTTCAGACAGCCAATAAGCAGGTGAAATCATAAAAGGCAAGCTTAATTGGCACTTTCCTTCCACATTATTCTTACAGCTGAATGATTATGAGATTCGGAAAGGGAAAAAGATTGGTGTTACCGTATCTTATAACAATCACCGCTTGTTTGTGGGAAATATTCCAAAGAATCGAGACCGAGATGACTTGTTCGAAGAGTTTACAAAGCACGCACGTAAGTTGACAATTGTCCTTAAATCAGCAAGCAGTAACCAATGGAAGTTCGATGGGAGAAATGATGGGACAAAAATTTCTCTTTATGAAATCAGGTGTTTTTACCTAGTTGGTAGCAGAGGTGCCAGGTGGGTTAAAAATCCAGCCCTCTTGCATAAATGTTGAACAAAAACCTTGTCATGAATTGGTATTCGGAGAAACGAAATTCTTTATATTCATTTTTCAAAGATTGTCAATGTTTGGTAACGCTGATAAATTTATTTATAAGCCAAATGTGAACTCTTCACCATGTGATTCCTTCATTTTTATTTCTAGTAATTTTTCGTTTGCAAAATGTGCACAGTTGCAATGAGTAGACGATCGTAACTGCGTTATTGTGTCCTACAACCAATCGAGTTTGCGCTGCGATTTCACTCGGATCGTTCATCCCGTGCGTTTTCTCTTGCCTATGTAATAGGACGCAATATATATATATATATATATATATGTGTGTGTATGTGTGTGTGTGTTGCGCGGGGAATTCCTTCGATACCTTGAATTTGGTTTTGGGACACAAAATTTCAAATTAGAACGCAAGTATTTCTACAGCAGACAGTATCATCTCATTTCTTTTCTCATTTATACATGATTACCAAGTATATTAAAGGCTTTATGTTTCCACTTATTTATCTTCATCTAAGATGGAAAATATATACAAAATTTTTACAGAGTGTCAAACAATTTATTACGATAGGAGCATAGTCACATTTCACGAATGAATAAATGTGTGTTTATTGTGATGTCTTCAGTTTCAGTGAATTTAATATGAAAAAAAAAAAAAAATCGTACTTTCTTTGTATTTAAATTTCTTTGTATGTAAATGTAAATCCGATGAAGAAGAATGGTCAGTGTGATCGAATGAATGTGTCTTATCATCACTACATTTTGTATGTGTGTGCATACAATTCTTGCATGTAACATCAGGATATGGACACAGAGAGGAGATTAAGATGAAAAAAAGAAAGATACTATAGCAATAAGGGCAGAAGCCAAACTAGTAAAATGACGAGGCACAGGGATGATCTAGAAATTAATTATAAGAAAACATGATACAATGGTACAAGGCATCTGAGCATTTTGTTAACATATTTTTTCATTTTTTTTTTAATTACAGGATAGACAACTGAGAAAGCTAGTGAACTTTTAATCCATTTAACAGAATGAAATGTTGAGTTTTTATGGACAAATAGTTCCTTTACACATGAATCTTATAAAGTGAACGAGAGAAACATATAAAGTTTTTAAAGGACACTTTATCAGTTCAGTTCATGAAATCGATTTTTTGCTATTTAAAGTCAGCTTGCAGTATGTATGAGATGCCTTGTTATCCAAACAGCGCAGCTTCTAAACTGAGAGGAAGGAGAGAAGGACTGTTTTTCTCTCTCTGTCAGAGAGATGATAGTTGATTAAGTTGTCTAATGGAAATTGTCAAATTGTTTTTTGTTTGACAATTTTTCATTTTTTCTTTCGAGAGAAGTCAAGTCAAAGCAAGATCAAATTGAGAGATACGGACAATATTCCCACACCTTAGAATTAGAAGACAGATAAAAGATAATATATAATATAGAGTGTCATTTTGGTGTATACGTAATCGAATTACACACATCGCAATGCATGAGAATTCTAATAGCATGACAATCATACTACTTAATAATAGTATTCATATGCCTTGAAATGAATAATCCTCTCAGATTTTCCGAATATGTGCGGATTCAGTAAAAGTAATGAAGAAGGTTTTTCAAATATACAGTGCTAATAGTATCACATTTATCGAGAGAGTGTTTTACAGAATATTTAGAGCTTGCAATCTTTCTCTTTGTAGTTATTAATAAGGTCTTTGCATTTTTTCTGTTCTTTTATAATCCCGATCTTCCGTAGCCTTTTATTTGAGATTTTATCGTGACCCAGGTTGTGAGCATTTGGTAAAGTATATCTTTCTTGTTTCCTTTATATTTTACTCCTGACATAGTCTATCGATGAAATTTCATTTTACAAACTTGTTTATTTGACTTGTTGCTCTTTTTTTCTTTTTTTTTTCTTTTTTTAATCCTTAGGTATTAATGTTTAGATTTTACCTTAATTTTCTTTCAAACAAAAATGTAAAAGAGGAATATATAAGACTTGTGTGATATCCGCAATTTGTAAAGTACAAAGAAGAGTCGATGAGCAAAATATAACATTCTTGTATTGTGAAGATACATATAATCAAGTGCTATGGAAATCTTGCAGATTGGTCAATGTAGGATCTGATGCATACCGATACAATCTTTAATTACATTTTGTCTTTTGTTTTTTTGTTGTCAAATTGTTTTGTCTTTTGTATTGTATATGAGGAAATGCGTATATAAAGCAGTTTCTGGAAATTGGAATATGTGCATTGTATAACACGTGTATTTATATAAGATGAAATTTATAACCACAATTGTTAACCACAATCGGAGTAAATTTATGATGGTTGTCTTATGTGTAACATATTATTATAATAATGTGTAATTTGATCCAAGTACATTGAACATTCGAGTGATAAAAATAGATGATTATATACATACATATATGTATATATGTGTGTGTGTGTGCGCGTGCGCGTGTGTGTGTGTGTGTATGTGTGATTAGCGTATCTACTTGAGAACATCTACTCGAGGTGCAAACTTCTCACTCGTAACAATCATCGGATATAAAAATCGTGATAGATCTGCTTGAATCTATACATACACACACACACACATACACATATACACACACACACACATACACATATTTCGTGTTTTGGCACAGTTTCCATTCTTTATTAGTAGCAATCCTTGAAATACCCCGCAAATCTCGTCAAGATCAAGCGAATCTCATCCACTTTTTGTATGTTTTTCTCAACATATAGCTGGCCTGACCGAAGTGATTATCTACAGCTCACCGGATGACAAAAAGAAGAATAGAGGTTTTTGCTTTTTGGAGTATGAATCTCACAAAGCAGCTTCCTTAGCCAAACGAAGATTGAGCACTGGACGTATCAAGGTTTGGGGATGTGATATTATTGTTGACTGGGCCGACCCTCAAGAGGAACCAGATGAACAAACCATGTCCAAAGTAAATGAGCATGATTATGCATGATGTGCAATTACATTATTAGTTGAGCGAATTGCTGTAATCGTGACTACTACTCTGTTTCAGGTGCGCGTGCTTTACGTACGGAATTTAACACAAGATTGCTCTGAAGAGAAACTGAAGGAAAGTTTCGAACAATATGGAAAAATCGAACGAGTGAAGAAGATCAAGGATTACGCTTTTATACACTTTGAAGATAGAGATAACGCTGTTAGGGTAAATAATCCTTTTATAACAACGTGGCTTTAATCTTTGATGGAAGGTATTTGATAAAGGATATTTTAAATGTGCGCGTATGCTTTCTTCAGGCAATGAACGAACTAAATGGGAAGGAAATGGGTGGATCCCACATAGAAGTTTCATTGGCAAAACCGCCGTCTGACAAAAAGAAGAAAGAAGAGATGTTGCGCGCTAGGGAAAGACGAATGATGCAGATGTTACAGGGTAGAGGCGGGTGAGTAAAATTCATTGAAGTTTATCCTTTAGCCTACTTCTCAATGCCAATTTGTATCGCGTCTAACATGTCGACCGTCCGTTTTAATAAAAGTTGATAAATTTCCTCTTTGGTTTGATATTCAGCGGGAATTTCAATTAGAAATTTATATGATTCTTTGACGTTTGCTCTCACACAGTGGATCTCCATCTCACCCGAGCATGATGGGAGGACCAATGCCAGTTCGCGGACCTGCACAGGGACCTCGAGGTACTGGCGCAGGTATGCGTGGACAGATGGGACGTGGCGATTACGGTTAGTACCAATACCAACTCATTTTCTCCTAAACTTTTTTGCTACGTCGTTTTACACTTTTCAAAAGTCCTAAAAGGACTGCTACGCGTCCGTGAATGATCTGCAAGAAAACACAAATTTAAATAATTTTTCACACATGTCACGTATATCAGTATAACACGATGCCTGCGTATGTTTTCGTTCCTCTCGAGTCGTAACAGCTGTTAAACGTAAAACTTGTCTCTTAACACAATTTTCGTCGTTATGAATTATCTGTTAGGCTTGGACCATGATATTTGATAAAATTCGAAACGTTAAATTAAAGATTGCAGATTAAAGCCGTACGATAAGCTGATTAAAGTTATATGAAAACTGTACGATATTTCGAAGTAGTGCAATATCTTGTACGTGACAAGAAATGAGACTCAAGAAACTTGAGTAATTTATCAATAAATGAATAATATTATTTATTTAGCTCACGTAAATTTGGTTTTACAAAATAAAAAAGTTACAAGACATTTAATTACTTTATAAAGTAGAGTTAAATATTGGTTGATATATCTTTTTGGATTACATAATTTTTTTATTTATATATATATATATATATTAGCTTGTTGCATACATACATTTCAAATTAAAAAAGAAATTGTATTAAATATAATTTTAAACACTGTTAAATAAATACTAGTAAATATATACATTTTAATAATATTAAATCTCTACGACGATATTTTTGGTAATGTTTATGTAACGCAAATATCCCGCATGCTTTTGGGGATTTTTCACTATCTCACTACATACCTTGGCTTACGCGCATGATAGGCTATTTTGAACGTGTGAGCAAGAAATACTTACTGAGCATTCCTATATTACATAATGATTCTCTGGATTGAAACCTTTTTCTTCTTGACCTCGACCAAAACCGCATTATCCCTTTTGTTATGAATATATCTTTCAATGCATACACAGAACAAAGTGGCATTTTAAAGTTATTCTCATATAGTGTACATTTGTTTATAAATATAAACATTGTTAAAAAGGTAAACACATTATGTTTGTACCGTGTACACGATATATCGTAAATTATCTTTTATTTCGACAAGAATGTCTCAATGAATTGTTTCGTAAGGTTGTAGTGAGAGAGTGCTCAGATGATAAGGATCAAGTTAATGTTTTTAAATAACATTGAGGAGAAAATTCATTCAATGTATAGCAATGTTCATGTGTCGTTTATTTATATTATTTGGTCTGAGCCTAGTTTTGGAATGTTCGAATAACATGTCTTTATATTTTACTTTTTTACTCGATTATAATATAACGTTAATGATTAACACGATCGTCGCGATTAATATCAGTCTGGACGTTATGTTTCTTTGTGTTACATACATATGTACATGGATACATGTATATATGTATGTTAAATGTGTGCTTAGCATTGTAATATGAGAGCACCTTGTTGCCTTACCACTACCACTTCCTGTGACACCTGTTTAATTAATTTTTTTTGTTACTGAAGATACAATTGCATGTGTATTTATCTGTTTTGTACCTTTTTTTTTTTTTTCGTTTGGTACCCTAGTTGAGAGTTATTTTGTGGCAGTGCACAGAACAATCACATGCATTGCCAGAGAGAGTTTTAACCCTACCGTTCTGTTTCGTTTATCTGAGCGTGTGTACGTCGTTGATTGTGTATGCATCATCAATTCACAAATCTGTTTACAGCTCTCAAGGAAATAGGTAAGCCGCGATGATGAATGATGAATGCAACAGTTGTAGAGTATTATGTGTAGTCTTGTGTATTTTCTTCCTTTTGACGTTGAGTTTATGCCCAACTTAAAATACGTAATCGCGAGGTCATCGAAAACTAACTTCCTCCAATGCAAAGTATATCTACTACTTTACGGAAGCCTCGTAAAACTCTTGACGTACGATCTATCATATTAGATGACTCCGAAAGTGTATGATCGATATCTTTTTTCTCATTCTTGTGAGCATCTCTTGGGAGATATCGATAATTAGTCGAAAGAATTTTTACGCCAGGTTCGCATCTTTACAGTATTGTCGAATTAAATATTCTCCTTCTGCACACGTTAATTCAATCTCCATACCGTCTATTGAGATACTATCGTTCCCACAAACAGACATTGTGTCATTTGCGACTTTTGATTTGGAGTATGCGTGAAATTTTCGATTGACCTTGTAACTTTACATCTCAGGATATGTGATGGTGGTAGGGTAATCAGCATACAATTTTGTCCGTGCGGTATTGTAACTTAAGTGTGTTCTTATATATGAATATACATGAAATATTTTTGTTTATTCTCTTGTGCGAGAACGTATTTATCCTTTTTTTCTTCCCTTTTTTTTTTTAACTTTTGGAAAGTATCGTTCCTTCTTCATGTTCACGTACGTTGTATACTTTATGCGATATACAAGTGAAATTTTTTTTTTGTGTTTTTCTTATCTTTCGTTTCTATTATTATTGGCATTTTCAAAATTATCTTTTCCCGGCATGCCTTTCTTATATTGAAACCAGTATTATTATCTCAGTAAGTTGTCAATTGGATATATCGTGGCTAAATTTGGGTCTATTTGTAATGTGTGTTTTTATAGATTATGATTACGACTATTACGGTTATGGGGATTATCGAGGTGGCTACAGTGATCCCTATTACGATGACTATTATCGATACGAAGATTACTATTTCGATTATGCGCCGCCTCCGCCGCCTGCCAGAGGGAGGGGCAGGCAGCCTCAACCGGTGGGTCGCCTTTTTTAATGGTTCTAAAAGTCGTTTTCGTTCCTGAATCATTATTACTTTTTTTTCGATATCAGCGGTAGTTTGATTGTGGCACAGTGTTCGCGGATATATTCCTATAAGTATGTTGTACATCTCCAAGTTATACTTTAATCCAGATCATCCTGCCTATTTTTTCTGTCTGAGCGTGTAATTAACGCTGGCTAACTGATATGCGCTAGCTTCATAGTAATCACTATTAACGCGCGCAGGGGGATGCACATTTTAACGCAATCCCGTTTCATGTTGTTAAATGCACCGCATCCACAGTATACGAGTAATAGCACTCATCCGAGCTGTAGATTCTACAATAAATTCAGAGAAAAAGAGAGAGAGAGAGAGAGAGAGAGAGAGAGAGAGAGAGAGAGAGAGAGAGAGAGGAGAGAGAGAGAGAGAGAGAATGAAAGTGAGTGAGTGAGAGAGAGAGAGAGAGAGAGAGAGAGAGAGAGAGAGAGAGAGAGAGAGAGAGAGAGAGAGAGAGTGTGAGAGAGAATGAAAGTGAGTGAGAGAGAGAGAGAGAGAGAGAGAGAGAGAGAGAGAGAGAGAGAGAGAGAGAGAGAGAGAGAGAGAGAGAGAGAGAGAGAGAAAGAGAGCGAAACATCAATGTTAAGAAATACCAATATTATAAACGTTGATTGAATGCAATGGTGGATTAATCATTAATAATATCGGACAAAGGCGGAAAGCAAGAGAGAGAGAAAGAAAGAAAGAAAGAGAGAGAAAGAGAGGGAGAGAAAGAGCGGGAGAGAATGCTGTTAAGAGCACACTGTGAATGCATTGTATTTACATAGAGCCTCTTTAAGATCTCTAGTATATGTATTATATTAACTAACACCACAACGCGTGCTTCGATACTAATTAATAGACCCTCTAATCCGAACACATTGCCACTTTCAAATTGCTTGCAAATCATATCTGAGCCATGGTAGACCCATTCTAAATTTCAAGCAAATATATACATACAGCCGGGAAAAGCAATTTGCAAACAAAAGAGAACAAGTAGAGAAAGGAAAGCAGATGTAAAAGACAATTATGAAGGGTGCACGGCAAAAAAGAATGGAAGACGCGCGGGAATAGCGCTTCGCGAATGAGAGTCCTCCCAAGGAAGAAGATCGCACATTTTTAGTATTGCAGGATCCCCCCTAACGCATTATCCCAGTACCGATATTTTAGTGCAGCTTCAGGAGAATCCCAGACGTAGGCAAGAAACACCAGTGCGTACAGGAGTTTCCCATATACCGTCGTCGTCCATATAATCTTAGTCGAATAACTTATCTTTTTTGTTTTCCTTTTTTTTTTGTAGAGCGACGTTGCGTCTCGTGGCTCGGATATGATGATCTATACATATATATATATATATATATCTTTCTCTCTATATATATATATATATATATATACACACATATATATATATATACCTTTTCTATGTCAAGTTGCAGGGTTATCCAAATACCGTAAATACCAAGGGAGCGTAAATGGGCGCCCTGTGAAATTTATATTCTCCACATATATATTCCACATATATATATTCTCGTTTCTTTGTTTATTTTTATATTTTTTTTCTCTCATCTATTACATTACATTGCGATCAACTTTTTCTCTTGGCAGTGTCTAGCTATGCGACAAACACGATACGCGCGCACTCAGATCGTTACGTGTTACAATATATCCCGTCAGCGCTGCTATGTTCCTTCGTGCCATAATACGTGATTGTGCGTCGTAGTTATTAGTCGTCGCTTTATAGAGGAGAAAACGAGAAACGCGCCAGGAGGAACCTCCGATTCACCACGCATAACCACCCTCGTGCCTTGTTATTATTAACGTGCGTGTTTCGCCTCTTTATTTATTTTATCACATCCCCCCCTCCCGCCGGAACGTGTCGTTCGCGTATTCTCTCAAGGAAGTAGACTAGTTTCCCCCAGACGTTGGCTTTCTGTATTTTGTTTTTTTTTTTTTCCTTTTCTCTCAATTATCCACAGGTCTCGATCGGTCATTTTTGTTCGATTGTGCACGGCGTGACTGACGTCACGTCCTCCTCATCACGTCCGCTGTTGTCTCCCTCTTTTTCTCCTCGGATATATTTCTCATTGTTATTGTCGTCGTGCATACTTTTCTCTCACCTCACGACTCATACACGACGAGATAGACGCTCGCATCGCGCTACGCGCGATGTCAAGGCGCATTTTCTCCCCCTCAGTCCGTTATCTCGTATCTTCGCGCTTGACACGGAAGTGACCCGAGTTATCCACATCTGTCCGAGAGAATTCGATCGTCGCTCGTCTCGAGGACGTTCCCCCGTCTCCTCTCGACTAAGCGCTGTTTCAGCGTTCCTTGCGGTTCCAGCGGTCGTTGCGTCGCGAAACGCGTAGCTACATGCGGACGACAACGCGCATACCGCACCCCCTGATCATCATCTACCTTCTTACAGGGAAGACCTTCTTACGGACAGACGCGCTCCCAAAGTGCCAAATGCCCGCGACGATGCATACGTGCGGGTATGGATCGCAGGCCCACCCCTCCTCCCCACGATACAAGCCCTGAGAAGCATAACGCTCGATTCAATGTGCCAATTTGTTTAAAGCAGGAGGAAAAGTTTGTCGCAAGTTGTACTAGCAGCAGAGTGTCTCGGGTAGCTGAGGGACGATAAACCCGATATTTTTGGATCGATAACTTGTGTCACGAACGCGCACGAACTTGCCGTTCGCCTTAACCACGTGACAAGTGATACAGTAACATTTAATGATAACGGTATAATGATATTTTGTGTGCTTGTACACTGAATTGTGCGTAGGTGAGAGATAGACCACGCGGGGATAGATGACGGAATAGAGAAGATTGCGTCCCTCGTGTACGACTGGTACTAGAACCCAGTGAAACACGGCTCTCGCTTCGGTACTCCCGGTCCCCTGTGCCTCACTCCGATGTATATAAAACAGCTTGTGCTTAATCCACCCCCCCCCCCACACACACACACATACACACACACACACATGAACACACACCCACATCCAACAACCATCCATCTACCTACTCACCCAGCCACACACGCTTAATGATGCTGCGCCGCTTATATTAAATACGCCTTGGTTGAATTTTGTTTTAGCTGCCAGTGCAGTAGCTTCTGTCGCTTAAAGTTACTACGCCAACGTTCGCTTTTCGCTTTGGATAACTCTGCTCAGTCCTGCTGTATGTAAGGACGTGGTCAGTAAGATTTGGTTATAGGTGATCTCTACTTCTTACCGCGCGTTCTTCTTCTTCTCCATCACCACCTCCTCCTCCTCCTCCTCGTTTTTCTCAACTTCTCCTTATCATCTATATTCTCTCTTTCTCTCTCTCTCTCTCTCTCTCTCTCTCTCTCTCTCTCTCTCTCTCTCTCTCTCTCTCTCTCTCTCTGTCTCTGTCTTTGTCTCTGTCTCTGTCTCTACGCGCCTTTCTGTCGCTTTCCTCCGATTATTTTCTTCTAGCTCTGTCGTTGTTATCCATCTCTTCCTATCGCCTATCTCCTGCTATCTACGCGACGTATACGTACGTATAAGAGCCTATACGCGCATACACGTCCGTACATGTGTGTGAGATACAATGCGCATACGCATTATAGGAAATACCATTGATCATACATTCAGCGATGTATCGATTGATCCTCTTACTTCCACTGTGCCTTACTACGTGACTACTATCTGCTATTATTTACGTCTTTGTTTTTAAGGGTCGCTACACTGCGAGATATTTATTACCTGTGTTTTAATTAGACACAATAGATATAGGGCAGACAACGCGTAAAACTAAAAAGAGAGAAAAAGAAATGCAAAAAAGAATGCGAAATTACTCGCAGACATATCTATGCAATAAGGTGTTCTACAGATAGGGTAACAATTTGGGTGTGTGTTATTTGGTCAGGCTGGTCGTGGCCGTGGAGTAGCGCCACGTGGCCGAATCGGTGGCCCGCAAACCCGTGGGCCAGTCAGGGGGGGACGCAACCCCGCAACTTCAGGGCCCCGTGGGGTCCAGCGGCTGGCCGCTCGTGGGGGGGTCCGCGCCAAGGGAAGTTTACCAGGTGAGGATGGTCTGTATCTCCACAATGAATCATCTTTTACACTATTTACATTCTCTCACTCCCCCGTTACAGTCACACGTTCGCACACATACATACACCCACACTCCACACACACACACACACACACACACACACACACACACACACACACACACACACACGTACACACGAGTTAAGTTGCTCGCCATATGAAATACCTTTACACCTACGAGCTCACACACATATTCAAAGATTGAAAAAGATTATTTTGATGTTCCCGTTGAGAAGCATCTCGCGTGAAATCTATTCTTGGTATACCCGGTATACATGAGACAATTATAGACAATTGAGTGATATCGAGTCTGCTGAGAGTTAACGTCTCGCGTATGCTACAGATAACATTTCGGTAATTGTGTGGAAAAAAGTACAGATTCCAGATTTTGATATGTTGCAAAGAGCGGAGTTATCAGTAGCGAGGATCGCATACGGTTTCTGAGATATCATTATCTTGCAATTTTACATTGAATTATATTGAGAATGAGCAATCATATGCTATTGTTTACATTTTTCATCTTTACGTGCCAGTCCCTCCAAATACGTTTCAGTTTATGAATAAACTTATTGATAATATTCGGATCATATTCGCTTTATCAAATTGATAAATTTATTATACACTAAAATAACATTCTAAAAATATTTTAGACCGAAGACCGAAAAATATTCTAGGTCCGAAGACCTTACGCAAGATTTGGAGCTTAAGCAACCTTCTTCCTCTTTTTTTTTTACAGGACTTTTAGAAGGATGTATGTCTTGTTTGTATCTACGAGGGCAGTCTGAAAAGTTCTCTCGGCCTAACAACGAAAGAAAATTTTTTTGCCGTGAAATATGTTTTATTTTTCAATATAATCTCCTGAAACTTCAATACATTTATTCCACCGTCTTTCCAATAATTCAATACCATCATTAAAGTGTAATTCTGGAAGGTTCTTTTCGCTCTGGTGTATAGTGGTGGATTCAAGTTTCATCAACTGTTATGAAGCTTGAAACCCATTGTATTTTGTTTAAAACGATAAAAATGTGCCAAACACGCTTGAGAAATACGCATTCGAATGCGTTTTTGGTCAATTGTTAGCAAATGCGACACCCATCTTGCAGCTTTTTCAACTGCTGCTACTACTCGAATGACTTGACAGATCGAATAAAATTTTACATGGGTTTATATCAAGGATGCCACTTTCCAATACAATTATAGTTTGACACGTATGTGTCAGGTCAAGAACTTTTCAGACTGTCTACGTAGTTCCGAGGCCGCAGATACTAGAACTGTCAGCATAAGTTCCCTAAGTCGGTTGCTAGCCGGGCTTAAGTAGCCGATATAAATCGGCATGAGAGTGAACGTTTTTTACACAAGTCAGCACTGAGGTACTCATGGTGAGTGCCGGCCATGAGTAGATCCACTGTTTAATGTCTCTTCCGAAAGGCGGAACCCAGTTTTCCATTTAGAGTGACTCTCTCACCACTAGATAGAGCAACCTATTTTGTTGAAATACTTTTTATAAATTTTTCGCCCCTCCTTGCCGGTTTCTTTAGAATATCTTATTTTGATATAAAAACATACCAGGTATGTAAATATGAAACCGGAATTTGCCCCTAGCTGTCAATGTAGTTACCGTCAAACCGCGTCATTGACGCCATTTCCATTTGTTGACATCTGACAAAGATTTTCAACTCACAACAATACAAGTTTCATACAACAGCATAGTTTGTAATAGCGTTGAACATGTCGAATTTTGTGGTTGGAAGCTACGATTTACGGACAGCATTGATTTTCTGTTACCATTTGAAAAAAACTACTGCAGAATCGCATAGAATGCTTGTCGAAGCTTACGGTGAGCACGCTCTTGGTAAATCACAGTGCTTTGAGTGGTTTAAAAAATTCAAACGTGGCGATTTTTACATGAGAAATGAAGAACGTGAAAGACCACCGAGAAAGTTTGAAGACAGCGAATTGCAAGCATTGTTGGATGAGGATGACGCTCAAACGCAACAACAACTCGCGGATCAATTAAATGTGACACGAGAAGCCGTCTCCATACGTTTGAAAGCCATGGGAAAGATCCAGAAGATGGGAAAATGGGTCCCACATGAACTGAATGAAAGACAGCAGGAAAACCGAGAAACCACTTGCGAAATGCTGCTCGCCAGGTACAAAAGAAAGTCATTTCTCCATCGAATTGTGACTGGCGATGAAAAATGGATATATTTTGAGAATCCTAAGCGTAAAAGATCATGGGTAACTCCAGGCGAACCATCGACATCGACTGCAAGACCAAATCGCTATGGACGGAAGACAATGCTCTGTGTTTGGTGGGATCAGAAGGGTGTGATCTATTACAAGCTGCTAAAACCTGGCGAAACCGTTAATACTGAACGCTACCGACAACAAATGATAGATTTGAATCAAGCTTTGCGTAAAAAACGAACCAGAATATCAAAAAAGGCAACACAAAGTGATTTTGTTTCATGATAATGCACCATCACACACAGCAAAACTGGTCAAGGAAACGATTGAGGCGTTTAGTTGAGAAATACTTTCGCATGTGGCTTACTCACCAGACTCGGCTCCGTCCGATTATTACTTATTTGTATCGATGGGACACGCACTTGCTGAGCAGCGCTTCACTTAAATGTACGAAAATAGCTCGATGACTGGTTTGCCTCAAAAGAGCAACAGTTTTTTTGGCGTGGCATCCACAAATTGTCAGACAGGTGTGAAAAATGTATAGCTAGCGATGGGCAGTACTTCGAATAAAATATTTTTTAATCATTTTCATATAATAAACGTGTATTTTCTATACAAAAATTCCGGTTTCATATTTACATACCTGGTACACAAGAAACAACACGAGTGAGATGTTTGGAATAGAAGAAAGTCTAATGAAGGATAAAACTTCAACACTTGATAATGATACATCTTGGAAACCTCATGCGACCCCAAATAGTTCTAAATATGGATGATTCAGAACTACACCTTTTTTAACATATCTCAGAGCCAAAAGAACCTGAGATGTGTGTGTAATCCTTTCTATGCAACTACCAACATTTCTTTCTAGAGAAGCTACATGGCATAGCTGGTAGTGCCGCTTGATTTTTCTAGCGCTACTTGTAATGTTCACGGGACAATTCGACAATCCCGTCGATAATTGTACATAGAATCTCGCCCTCTCCTTTTTTTTTTTTAATTACTGCAAAGTACTGCTGCTACGTTTTATAGAAGCCATAACGTCGCGTAACGTAGCTTCCTTCAATATTACGCGCGAGCTTTCTTAACCGCTCTCAACAGTACTCTTTGCTAGGAAACTCTTTGTCAAGACATCTGCTTGCGACCTCTCGGTGAGATTCTGCTCCTGTTTCACACTTGTTTCGCGAAATCGGACGGATCACATCGCGCTCACTCGAGCGCGACATTCTGTGCGAACGGAGAATCTTCTCCATCAAGTCGATAGCGATATAATGGTAAACTGTTCGTTCCTTCCTCTTCCCCCCCCCCTCTTACTTGTGTACGTACAATTGAGAATCCTCGTCGTGGAGCATTTGCGTTCCTTCCCCCTGACGCGGATGCAAATGCATATCAAATTATCATTAGCTACTGCGAGAAAAAAAAATTGTCACGTTGAATCTGGAAATGAGTGTGTGATCGTAACCGACTGTATTTACCTTGCAGAATTAATTGTACGGAACTGCTAGATGTGATGCACATTTCTCACAGAGTCACTGAACCTTATATATCTGCAGCGTAATATGTTTAATTCTGCTCTCGTTCTTTTTACAGATTTGCTAATGAGAGAATATTTTCATTCACTCACGTCGGAGGTTTCGATGATACTGCTTATAATTATACGATTAGCTTGTCAAGTAACTGTGCACATTTCTGTACGTAGTCACGGATTTCTTTTGTTCACGTTGCAGTAAAAACGATCCAACCCACTACCTTCCTACCAAGGTACCCGAGTCCCACTTACCTGATTGTAACAGAGCAGTAGGTTAGTTCCTTTATGTGTTGCTATAAGAGAGGCCTTAAGTTGAGCGCACATATATTAATAGCACCCTTTGTACGAAGTAAGTCACCGTAGAGTAATTTCAATATTGAGTTTTGCTAGTGAGATACAATGAGATATACGACGAAGAAAAATGTTTCTAATTAAGCGTAATATTCGGAAGAAGGAGGAAGAAGAGAGTACAAGTTCGATTAAAACATTTTCGCTCAAGTTGTCCCATCTTAGTACATAGTTTTTACGTTAAAATTAAAATTCTGCTCAAAATTTTTCACATTGAGAGTAAGATTGATTGGATAATAACACGAAATCTCGGTGATCTAAATGTGACCTCATAAAGTAAGTAAGAACTTCGATTAATTCATGTTTCACGTTTGATCTTTGCGAATGTCCGAGTTTGTTCCGCGTTCAGCGGCGATCTCTATTATTCGGATATACACACCTTCCGAAAACACACACACACGTACAGGCACACCACATGCAATTTTACATGCGTCGAAGAGAACCTTCGAGATTTCTTTCACCTTTTCCTACGTATAAGTATTTTGTAAACGTCGCACGATGGTAAAAAAGAAAAAGAGGATGTCATTCGATAGATAATGTCGTTGTCGCTCCTCGAAGACGCGATTATCGGTTTCATCATTCTTTCCATTGTTTTTACAGCAGGTAAACGAAAATTTGACGGGGGTCACCAGAACCAGGGGGAATCTAAGCGTCGCTTCCAGAGCAACTGGGGAAACCAGCCCCTCGCCCAACAACCACTGGGCAATGCGTACGGATTGGCGAGTGTGAATGGTGGCAGTGGTGGTGGTGGCGGTGACATAGGATTCGGAGGCAGATCCGCCGCACTAGGCGGTGTTTCCGGCGACGATCACGAATGGTATCAAGACTCCTACCAATCGTGGAGCTAACTTCTACAAGCCTGTGAGTGATAAAAAAAGAAAAGAAACAAACGCGCACGCACGAACAAATGCATGATAGACAAAGCGGAAAATGAATAAACACGAACATAAGGAGAATTAAGGGAAAAAACACGGGAAACAACACAAAAAATCAGACTGACGGAATGCGGAGGAGGAGATTGATAGACAGAGGGAGAAGGGGAGAGAAAAGAGTGAAGGAGAATCGAGAGACGAGAGAAGGAAAAGGAACGAGGATGGGGTCATCCATTTGTATTGCTCTAATATCGAAATCCGAAATAATTGTAAATGTTTTTTCATACTAAATACGCAGCAACTGTGCTCTGCGCCACCACCATCGCCCGCTGTTGTTGTGATTATGTACAGTGATGTGCCACTGAGACTAATTATTACATCGGAGTGACCACCCACCCACCCCGCGTACTATTATTATATTATGATAATACTAATCTAAGTACCACTACTGCATTGTCACATTGTTTACTGCCAAGTGATGAAGATCAGCGATGTTGACATAGGGATTGTGATGGCTTGTATTAATTAAGAGAACTCATGGAAGCCTGCGGTTTATTATGCGATGACTAGATTTTTTGAATCTACGTGACGAAGCGTGTGTGTTAGATAGGCTGAGGGGCAAAGTAGTGTGTGTGGGGGGGGGGAAACGGAAAGATCGTAACGCAGATGGATAGATAGAATGTGATAGGTGAGATATTGAAGAGAGGTCAACTTGGAGTAAGTGTGTAATGTAGAATATACGCGTATAGGCAAACAGATGGCAAGGGCGAGAATGCGAATATAGCGAGCATGCGAGAGGGATGAACGTCTAATTGCAAGAGGCAGAGAAAGAGAGAGGGAGAGAGAGAGAGAGAGAGAGAGAGAGAGAGAGAGAGAGAGAGAGAGAGAGAGAGAGAGAGAGAGAGAGAGAGAGAAAGGGAGAGAGAGAGAGAGATTGTGTTAAATGGAATGTGTCTGTGTGTGTATGTGTGCGTGGAGCGCTCCAAGCGCCGCTAGACCTTCTATTGTTGGTCTATAAACGTGTACAGTCAGTGAAACTATTATTATTAAGGGTCAGGCAAGTTTTGCGAAAGTAAAAAGTGAAACGTTGCAAACAAGCCAACGGCTCTGCGGGTGTCTCCCAGACTAGTTCGGTTACGGTCATGATATCGAGGGAATTATTGGATAAGAAAAAAAGATGAAAAAGGTAGATAAAAAAATGAGTATTGCTCACGATCGTGAAGAAATCCACTTGTACAGTAAATTTTTCAATGACAGTATCCAAACTCGGATCTAAATCGTATTATATTTATTTGTTGATGTGTTTCTTTTTTGTAATTGAAAATTAAAGGATGAGAGAGAGAGAGAGAGAGAGAGAGAGAGAGAGAGGGGGGAAAAGAAAGAGAGAGAGAGGGGAGAAGAGAGAGAGAGAGAGAAAGAGAGAGAGAGAACGCAAGAGATAGAGGAAAAATGAGTATTGTTTTTTCTAAATTTTATGTAAAAAGTAAATTTGTTTCTCGTATTCTTTTACAAGTACACAATAAAAGAAAGGGAGAAAAGTTTTTAAAGATGACTGACTACGAATTTGATAATGATAGTCACGGATTGAAGTAGGATGTAAAATGTACGCAAATGTTTACAAATGCATGAACACATACAGCACACATTTTGAGTGTTGAATTGTTATTATTGTTAGCCTGTTAGTTAATTAATAAGAGTTGTAAGTGCGGGCTGTAGTTGGTCCCTGTCCCTGGAGCCCAGACACCCCCCTGTTCTGGAGATTATTTGAAAAAAAAAGGGATGGAAAAAAAAGAAAAAACATACGCAAACATTTGTATTTTACACGCACCCCCGGAATATGAAAGCATACGACGTAAAGACGAGATGAGAAAAAAAAACGAAAAAAAAAAAGAAAGAAATGAAATATTGTAAACGGAATGGCTGCATATCAAACTCCTGTTTATTGTACACCAAACGAGACGACAACCGCATAACAATTGTATATCGGCCCCGGATCGGATTTGATACAGATATATGTAGGATCGACGGATATATGTGTATTTACGGTATCGCGTGTGATTCTACGATGAACGATTATCAGACCACCCGGAGATACAAAAGATCATACATACATCCCATCATAATATGGAACTACCGTATGATTTTATATACAAACACACACATACAAAACGTACATATACGAATGAAAATAACGAAACGATAGACGCACCACGGACAAAATGTCTGGATGACGATCGATTGTTCGCCCCCCAACCTCGTATTTATGAGCATTTTGTTAATTTTTATTCATGTTTTACTTAAGTCTAATTCTTCTTCGTCATCGATACTGTTTTTACTGGTAGCGATTGTGTAGCCGCAACTAGTGTAGTAACGATCACGAGAAAAGAAAAAAAAAAGGAACATAAGAGGAATACCCCGATTCTTATAAACGTCCTATGTCCCCAGTCGCGATTATTGTTTTGAGAAAAAAAAAAAAGAAGCGAGAAAAGAAGGAAGGAAGAGACGAAAATCTGCATAGCGAATTGAAAAGCGCGGTTTGCGTTAGAGCTATCTTACCTTTCATTCCTCTCGTGCCCCCTTCCCCCAAACCCCCCTTTTTACTCATTATTCGCTTACCATATTTTATATACCTACCTACCTACTCTCTACTTACCTACACACCCTATTTATAAAAGCATAATATTGAGAGTACGATAATATTAATATTAACAATATGATAAGAATATTGCTAATCATAATTGAGTGGGTTTTTGTGACATGATAATATTCTAATAATAAAAAAAGAAATTCTGGTTTTCTCCGTGCAAAATTGTAATTTAAAAAAAGGGTATAAGAGCATTATAGAAAGAGAGAAAGAGCGAGAGAGAAAGGGAGAGAGAGAGAGAGAGAGGGAGAGAGAGAGAGAGAGAGAGAGAGAGAGAGAGAGAGAGAGAGAGAGAGAGAGAGAAGACGAATAAAAAGGAAAAAAAAGAAAGAGTAAGAAGATAATGTTATATAATACATCATATATATACACACACACACTCGTACATAGATGCAGAGATATACGATAAAAGAAATAAAAAAAAAACATAAGAAAAACAAATTCGGCTTGCGGGGGCAAGGAAGTATAACTTGGCTAAAGCGGAGACAGTTCACGGTGACGAGACTCTTAGACTGATCTAGGTACTAGCGTTTATCGATACCACCGACCCTGCCCCGACTACGAAGGCGCCCCAAAAGTATCACTCGCCCCTTCCTGACCCTTAGTATCTTTTACCTTCCTCCCCCTCCCCTTTCGTCATCCAAACAACCATCCACCCGTACCCGTCTCTCCTCTCTCGTTCTCTCTCTCTCTCTCTCTCTCTCTCTCTCTCTCTCTCTCCTCTCTGTCTTGTCCGTCCTCGCGTCTCATCTCCACCGCACACCCCCTTCTCACTTCTTTTATATTCTGATAACCGGTGTTGTGGCAGCTGGGGCGCCTGAGAGAGGGGGGGAGGGGTTATCGGTCGCATTTTAGGATAATGCACCCACACTGTGGCTGGCGATGCCGTAGCCGCGCGCGCGCGCCCTTCTTTTTTTTGCCTGGCCAACGCCCCGATATTAAAATAATTTCGCGGCACACGTCCTTTCTTCGGAAGAGAGAAAGAGAGAGAGAGAGAAAGAGAAGAGAGAAAGATAGAGTGAGACCGAGAGAGAGAGAGAGAGAGAGAGAGAGAGAGAGAGAGAGAGAGAGAGAGAGAGAGAGAGAGAGAGAGAGAGAATGGGAGAGATCAAGAGAGGAAGAGAAAGAGAAAGAAAGAAAAAAAAAGTGAAACGCAACAGTCACTCATTCGGGGCTCCATCACGCGGTTGGCCCCTCTCACGTGTCAGGCGGATGTTGTGTGATCCAAATGGGCCGGACGATTTTTAACGTTAGTTACGCGGCCCGCGAACCTCGTGTTTTTTTTTAATTATATATATATAAATATATTATATATATTATATCCCCTCCTCTGCGAATATGCATTTTTGTGACGTGATGTTATTTAGCACTAATTAACGAGAGAGATTGAAATCGTACGATGGTAAACAGAACATTTAATTGAACGAAACAATCGCCCCTAATCCCCCGAGAAAGAAAGAGAGAAAGAAAGAAGGAAAGAAAGAAAGAAAGAAAGAAAGAAAGAAAAAAAAATAACAACAAAACATGTACATGTTATATTACATACTTTTTTTGCGCTACGTGTCAGCTCCGCGGCTAAACAGACGTGCAAAATTATCACCGCTAAATTCTTTATACATCATTGCTGTAATTGTAATTCCTTTTCTTTTTGCGTTTTATCGGATTCATTATTATTCACCTCCTCTACCAATCTACGCTTTGCTTTTTAATTCCCGCAATTTTTTTCTCCAAGTTGCCCCTAATTTTAGTGTGAAACGTAGTTAAACATAATGATTATAATGATGAATTAAAAACGAATGTTATAACATGGTTCCTTTTTTCGGGCTAGGAGCTTGATTTAAAGTGTCAAAGATTTTTGTGTATGACCAGATGTATTCTACATGTCTCAATAAACAGTTGTATGTGAATTACCTTTCTTAAACTTGCGCTGCACTTTATTTCGCAATCCCCCCCGTTTCCTTGTTATTTTAATTCCTTATAATTCCTTAATGTTATATTTTAGGTAGATGTATACGTTCGCGAGATTGTGTCCACGGGACTTTGCACGGTTATTATACAGATAGCTGTGTCGATATATTTACAATATTCAATATCGATATATTCATAAAATATTTTAGTATTCCAAATTTTCAGATTATTCAGACAGATTATTTCTTCTATATTGTAGTAGACCGTACAGATTCTCCTAATTCATCTAGTCTTTTTTTTTTTTTTTAAGTCTCCTGGTCTCCCGTCGCGGATTTCTTGAATAATGACGTCAGAAGCGAGAAAGTGCACACTGAAAATTCGCTGCAAAATATGTCAAGATAGAAAGATATGTAAAAAAAATATTTGCGATCGACGATGCAGATATGTGAGATAATCCGAACGCACTTTTCTTTCGTCCTATCATTCGATGAATAATTAACGTAAAATTAATTTTATGCAATTCACCTTTATAACCCATTTTCTCGGTCATGTTAGCTTTACAATTATTTTATAACTATTAGAGTGAAAGGAAAGTATAGTAGCTTTTTATTCAACGTGTTTTGCAAGAGTTTTTAAAATGCTTTTTTTTTCACTTCTGACGTTCGAGATTAAAATAGCAACGAACAGGAGACTGGAGTCTAAACTTTCTTCAAATATTCCAGCTGTATAAAATGTTTGAAAGAAAAGTTCAAGACTTTAAAGGCAGAGATAGTACTCGCAAAATGGAGGAAAAAAGTTCTAATAAACACGCGACGAAAAATTCATATTATCGGAATTATGAGCAATTATTTATTTTAATTAAAACAAGTGACTCACTTGTGGTACTAGAAAGTTTGCAAAAGACTTTCTACACGTCCTCCTATTTCACATCTTGGTATATTATAGAATTGCGAACTCTAAAAAATTCTCGACTTTATTCTAATCTACTAAACTATCCGACAGGCATTTTGTATTCTTTGATGTAATTTGTCATGTCATTTATCGATGAAGAGAGCACACCATGCTCTTGAGAAATCTTATGAATTTAAATGTTAGGCAAATTACGAGTAGATCACTTGCTTCAATTAAAATAGATAATTCGGTCCATAATTCGGACAATATTAATTTTTCGACCCATGTTTGTTCGAATTCTTCCCCTCATTTTCTATCTGCCCTTAAGGTCCTGAACCCTTTCTTCCAAACGCTTCATTTCCTTAATATACCCCATGTTCAAGAATAACTCGCGACGTAAGAAGCATCCCTGATAAGACCGCGTCACATTCGAACATTCAATCCAATCTCGAGAGTCTCGATATAAAGTCATCGATACATCGATTCTCATCCGAGTTCGCATCCAAGCGCGAGATTCAAACTCCGCGAGCAAACAGGGCCGTAGCATTCGTCTCCCAGACGAGACTCGTCGCCGGACGTTCCTCCCGTCCGCGCCGGAAGCTTTCGCAAAAGGAAGAGACTGTCCTCCCAACTGAGGGCAGAGGGACGCGAAGGAATCGGATGTTCCGTTCCGCGAGAGCGATTCCCACCCCCGACGCGCGGGCGGCGGGCGTGATCGCGCACGGCCACCTCCGGATTTTGGCGGCCTCTGCCGCCGATGTTGGGGCGTGTGTTGGCGGCGGTGGCGAGTCGACGACGTCGGAGTCGCCACTCTTCGCAGAGGGGCGAGTCGCGCGCGCGTTCGGGGTGCGTTCTGATGTGCCGTTCCGTCTCCTCGGTGTGACTCCAGTGATGGTGTCGTGTCACGTCCACGAGAGAATCGACCTCGAAGGCGAAGGCACGGAGCGACAGCAGCAGCAGCAGCAGCAGCAGCAGCAGCAACCAAAGCGACGGTACGAGTCGGCTGCTGACAGCAGCAGGGTGGCGGCGGCGGCGGCGACGGCGACGGCGACGGCGACGGCGACGGCGGAGGGTGCGCGTGCACGCGCGACGCTCTTACGAGTTACGAAAACGATGAACGTCCGACGAACGTAGGGACGAACGCGCGCGAGGGCTAATCTCCGTTTAACGCGAGCGCGACTACCGTGAGAGAGCACAGAGGGTGAAGAAGCACCGCCGTGAGGGAGAACTCGAGGTACGCCTGCTCCTCCGAGTGGTAGATCGAAACCGCCGTCTCTCGCCGACGCCGACGCCGACACCGATCGCGGTCGTCACGATCGGAGCGACAGGCTCTCGCGGCCTCGCTGCTCATGGCCGTCTCGGCGAGTCCGCGAGAGATTCTTCCGTAGACAGTCTTTCGTCGTCGTCGTCGTCGTCGTCGTCGTCGTCGTCGTCGTCGTCGTCGGAGGGTGCGTGCGCGTGTGCGTGCGTGCGTGCCGCAGGCAGGTGACCGTGTCCCTGATCGTCCTCCGCGCGCGGCCCTCGTGGAGGGAGAAACATGTGAGAGGGATTTGGCGAGATCTTGAGAGATCGACGACGACGACGACGACGACGACGAGAACGAGGTCGCCTCGTGATAGCGCGCGAGTTACCACGCTGGGCTGATAAGGGCGCGCTCGCGCGAGAATCGCGCTCTGGAATGACCGCCGCCGCCCGACACGTTTCGCCGTCGTCCCGTCGACCAGCGGGTGTCTGCGAGTCACTCGATATTCGCCGGCGGCGGCTCGTGTTTATCAGCGCGCGTGATTAGCCGCCGATTACGAGGCTCGTCACTGCGATGTGCCACACGCGTCGCGCTCTCGCGGCTACCAGTAGGCGTGTCGGGGATGTCAAGCGCGTAAGGGTGTTGTACACCCCCGCGGGAGTTACAGCGCCGAGAGAGAGAGAGAGAGAGAGAGAGAGAGAGAGAGAGAGAGAGAGAGAGAGAGAGAGAGAGAGAGAGGAAGAGAGACGGAGGGAAAGAGAGGGAGGGAGGGAGAGAAGCGCATCGCGACGTAGCGACTCCGAGACGACTACTTGGGTGCGACGGGGTGAGTGTTTCTTTGCGGAAGGAAGCTTCCTTTTTTTCACGGGGACGAGTCTCTCTCTCTCTCGTCGATCGGAAAACGGGATGTACGGATGAGCACGGGTGAACTCGTCGGCTGGTGGAGCGCGAGCAACGACGGCGATTCCCCGCTCTCGGGGATCATCGCGGCTGTGTTGCGGCTCGACCGGGATACCACGGTTCGCGCTTTTAGAACGCGAGACCTCGCGCGGGCGGCTCTCCTCTCATGCTCGTCCTTTGGTTCTTTTTTTTTTCTTCGAGAGAGAGAGAGAGAGAGATCATGCGTCTCTCCCTCCCTCTCTCGTCCTATGTGTTTTTGTTCTTCTCTAGAGTGTTGTTTTTGTCCCCCTGTGTGTCTTTCTTATTCCGAGCTATTCGATGCTGAGATCGAACTCGCGAGGGCGAGTCGTCGGGGAGGAACTACTCGCGGGGAACCGTTCTTTTCGTCCTTTGTCCTTTCCGTTCCGTTTCTACCTTTTGGCTTATCCTCGTGGTGTCGCGATATGCGTGCGTGTGTGTGCGTGCGTGCGTGCGTGCGTGCGTGCGTGTGTGTGTGTGTGTGCTGTGATAGTATTCACCGTGCAGTTTCGGCTCGCCCTTTTTGCCGAGTCTGTTAGGCGTGTCGGCGATCTCTACACGCGCAAAGAGAGAGAGAGAGAGAGAGAGGAGAGACGGCCGAGATTTAACTGCCGAGATGAAAGCGAAGGTACGCGCGGCCGCCGCGTCGACGCGAGAAAAAATTCTCGGGCTTAATGAAGGCAACGAGCGTTATTTTTCAAACAAGTCAGCCGTGAATGAATTATGCTCGCGGGGACGATCGAGCGCGCGCGCGCGCGCGAATGTCAGCGACGAGTACGACGTTGTTGCCGATGAGTACGACGTTGACGGATTGAGAGAGAGAGAGAGAGAGAGAGAGAGAGAGAGAGAGAGAGAGAGAGAGAGAGAGAGAGAGAGGGAGAGAGGGAGCGAGCCGGTGCGTGTTGAAAGTACGACGTTAATGCGGTCAGTAATCGGCGGAAATCTCGCGGAAACACGCGCGAACCAACGCCGCGTCGTCGGCGAGACGAGTCAAGTCCGATCCGGCGGTGTCCACGTCGCGAATTTCCATTTCGGAGTCAATCGCCAATTGCTCCCGCGTACGCGCTCCGTGCTCCATTTGCTTTTCCATTTGCGCTGTACGTACGCGTGCATATATTCTTTTTAGACTTTTCTATTTCCACTCCGCGCGCACGGCGTCGCCGTGCGCCTAGCGTCACCTGCGACGCGATTTTCTCCGCCGGTGAATTCGGCCAGCGCGATGGATTCTCTTCCGGCTGTATATATCCAGGGCTGTGTTCCAATATTCACTGGCAGCACTGAAAATCTATAATAATACGTGACACGAACTATGTATTTCCAGTACTGGCGGTGGAATTTTGGAACACAGCCCAGGTCGGCGCGATCGCGCGCGCTTCAACATCGCAATCGCCGGCCCCCCCCCCTCCCCCTCCGCGCGCGATTTCATCGCTCGCCGTCGAACTCGGCAAACTCGCGCGTACGCGATCTCGCGAGCTAATCGCCGCCGCCGCCGAGTTGCTTCTCGCAGCCGCGTGCGTGGCAGGCGGCTTCGAGATCCTCTCACCGTGTTCTCGCAATCGCAGGTAAGCGCCCGTTATCGATTCTTCAACTTCGACTCGTCGCTCCCGAGCGAATATCGGCAGTTTCGCACGGCGGAATCGCGAGAAAAGTCCCGGCTACGATGAGAGATAAGCTTTCAAACGGCGCGGAGGTCTCTCGCTCGGTCTCGGGTCATCTCGGTTTCGTTAGATTTCGATCGGTAACAATCGTGGGCCAAACACGCTCGTCGCGCGTCAACAGTGCGATTTCAACATTGATCGATGACAATGTCGCACACGGCAACGGCTGGCCGCGGCACAGCTCGAGAGGCCGCGGTTCGCTCGGCCAGGGGATGTCCGGCGACACCCCCGCTGGACGTCCGCAGCATGAGGGTCTGCATGATCCGCGGAAGAAAAAGCGGCCGTCGGCGTTTAACGTCGGAGAGCCGCCGCTATTGACCATCTTGCTATCCTTTTCCGAGCGCATGGGGCGCGGTTCTGATCCTATAACACTCTGTTCTACTTTCTAGCCGTCCGCGCCGCGTTCTACACGCGCCTCGCTCCTCCTGTCGATTGTTCCCGTTTGTCGACACACTCGAGCGCGCGCGGGCCGACCGGCCGGCTCGTCGGAAAAAGAAAAGAGGGAGGAAAAACGTTCTCAACGGCCGCACACACACACACACACACACCCTCGAACGAATCACGGGCTCCCCCCCCTCACCCCGCCGTCCGTTGTCCGCTCGAAATCAGCGGGATGACTCGCGGTTTTTCGCCCGCGAGGTTACAGAAACTAAAGGAAATATCATCCGCGGATTACGCGTGGAAACGGACCCGTCGATCTCTCGGGATGTTCGAATTTCGGGTTCCAATCGATCGCGAATCAGCTGGAGTAAGGTGAAACTAAGTTTGTTTATTCGGCCGGAGGTGTAGGAGAGACGGTGGAAGAGATAGATAGATAGATAGATAGAGAGAGAGAGAGAGAGAGAGAGAGAGAGAGAGAGAGAGAGAGAGAGAGAGAGAGAGAGAGAGAGGGAGGGAGGGAGAAGCCGTAGAAGCGATACAGCTGGTCGATTAAACCGATACGAGCGCACTGTCTAAACGAAAGACATCCATTGATTACACTGCGGAGCTTGTGTCTGCAGTCGAGCGGATTGCTCCACTGGCCGTTCTGCCGGATATATCAGCAGTCGTTTTCACTGGCTGCCTGCACATCGCCTGGAACTACTCGCGCGCGCGCCAATAGATTGACCTGAGCCTCGTTTGGCGGTCATGCAGGCTGTCCCAAAATCATCGGCTCTCTCTCTCTCTCTCTCTCTCTCTCTCTCCTCGCCCTCTCTCTCTCTCTCTCTCTCTCTCTCTGATCGCTTCTCCCTAATTTCGCATTGTTTCTCGCGTTTTTCCGATATCGCTTCGATACGGACGGAGAGATTATTCGAGAAATGGAGAAAAAGTTATTAAAAATTATTAAAATACAACGGAATTTATTTTTGCAATTTGTTATTTTGTTATTTTTGTTATTTTGGCAATGTCGTTCTCCGATATCTTCCTTATTTTCTATATTACTTTTCGCTCTTTCAATATCGTGGGGGAATGAAAAATTGTTTGAAAGACGGAGAGAACTACAATGGCAAAATTGTTGTTAAAACATAATAGAGAGGGAATTAAGAAAATTATTATTATTATCGCAACTTTATTTTGACAGTATCATTTTTGACATTAAAAATCATCGGCTATTTCTCTCTCTCCCTCTCTCTCTCTCTCTCTCTCTCTTTTTTGTCGCTTTTCCCTAATTTCGCGTTATTTCTCGCGCTTTTTCGATATCGCTTCGATACGGACGGACAGATTGTTTGAGAAATGGAGAAATGGAGAATCGCAACGGGACGTAGTTGTTATAAGTATAATGCGGATTAAGGGTTATTTTGAAAAATTATTAAAATATAACGAAAAGTTATTCTAGCTATATTGTTCTCGATATTTTCATTATTTTCTGTGTTACTTTTTATTCCTTCAATGTCGTGGCGGAGTGAAAAATTATTTGAAAGACGGAGAGAACTGCAACGGAAAATTGTTGGTTAAAATATAATAGAGAGGAAGTTAAGAAAATTATTATTATTATCGCAACCTTATTTTGACAGTATCAGTATTTTGGATATTTTCGTTCTCCCACTCGTACTATTATTGTTTATTCTTCCATTTTATTTTAATATCGTTGCAGAGTAGAAAATCACTTGGAAAATGGAGGAATATAATGGAGAATTATTGCTCAAATTAGAGAGGGCAAAAATTATTGAGAGAAGTTACTATGAAAATACGATGAAAAATTATTTCGGCAATATCGTTCGCCGCGCTTTTGTTATTTCCTACGCGCTCATTTTTCATAGCTCTCAGCATCGCGACGGAACGGCAAATTATTTCGACGATATCGCTTCAGTTATTTTCTGTTATTTTACGTTTATTATTTTCCGTTGTACGTACAACCGGCACGATTAGAGCGTGTTTGCGCTTCGCTGCTAACGATTTTCAATTTAAGCTTTCCGGAGCAAAAAGAGAGGAGAGAGGAGAGAGGAGAGAGAGAGAGAGAGAGAGAGAGAGAGAGAGAGAGAGAGAGAGAGAGAGAGAGAGAGAGAGAGAGAGAGAGAGAGAAAAGGAGAACTGTTCGGATTTATTAACGAATTATTATCGCTTCCACGGTTTGTGTAAAATACCTTTCGACCACGGCACGCCGGACGATCGCTCGATGCGCCGCCGGCCGGCTTCTCTCGCTCCGACTTGTCGCGTCGATATTTCGTTAATTCACTGTGAAATCACTTGACGCGATCGCAGGCGGGCAGACAGGCTGCGTTATTTTTCAAAGCGCGTTCGCTCGGCCGAAGGCAAGTACGGCAAGCGGCTGTTATAGAATGTATACGATTAATTCTTCTCCCGCAATCCGTACCCGCATGAGCACACGCTGATTGTAACTGTCGTCATATTCGCGATCACATGCTGAGTGATAGCGCGTTAATTGATTAAACGTTGCTTGCCCGAGAAAGAGAAAGAGATTGCACGCGCGTCTCTCTCTCTCTCTCTCTCTCTCTCTTTTCCTCTCTTCTCGTCCGTGCAAAATCGCGGATATCACGGCCGATTAAGTCTCTCGGCGATTATGTCTCTCGATCGCGGCAAAAATAGTGACTCCAAGTTGTCGCTCAATTAACGGGGTTGCATGACGGCGACGCGAAACACGATGCGTTACCCGAGCGAGACACCTTGGGGACTAAATTAATCGTCCGTGTCGTGTTTCTGCCATTTTCCGCCTCTCTCGGAATTAGACGCTGCGAACGCGCGCGCGCGTCATTGATCGCTAAATCCTTCTCGAGCGATTTTACATCGTCGCTGCGTTGCGCGCAGTGGATCTTTCTCATCGGAAATCAATGCGACTTATCTACACGTTGTATCTACACGTGCACCGGTGCGAAGCTTCGTTAGGACATTATTTTCGTTGGTACGCGTCACGCGAAACGCGATTTTCACGGCTTTCCTTTTTTTTCTTTTCTCTTTCACGAAGTTGGAGCGGTTCTTTTCGAGTCAAGTTGGAAGCGCTACTAGCTACGTGTGTAAGCACAATCGTCGACACACAGCTGTGAAAAGCTGTGAAACCTCGGCGTGAAACACACTCGCTGATTTGCTTGCCCAGCGAGATATAACCAACCATAATGCGGCGATTGAAATGAATAACAATAATAACGGCTGAACCGTGTATATTGCAGATGATCTTCCGGATCGATTTTCCTCGCTTTTCCTGCGCCCAGGACAGATACTGACGATATGGTAAAGACATTTGAAAAGAGAAAGAGAAGGGGAGAGATTACGATAGTACACGAATCCGCGCGTCTGTGCACGCTCGTGTCGACGATGAGGTATATGAATGATTATTCTCAGGATACAGTATGGCTTCAGTACTCTGGCATGCCTCTGGGAGTAGTTTTCTTTCGTCAGCCCTCGTGCTACTCTTGCTACTCTGTCCAGACAGCTCCACAGGTCAGTAAGAATGCGTTAGCGCGTAGTTGTTGCTTAAGCTACACCGTTCTTCTCTTTTCTTTTCCCTCCCTATGTGCGGTCTAGCTACTTTCACGGTCGAGTCGCGCGAGGCGAAGTCAAACGCGAAGATCGATGGACGGTCGAGACCTGGGGCGAGTAACCGACGAAATATCGGCTTTCCCCGGCGCGGGGAATTTTAATTGGGATTTAGCCCCGCCGGGGTGTGCGCGCGCGCGCGCGACACCGCAGTAATATTTCGCGGACACGTATTGTCCCGAGAAAAAGTGTGTCGGAATTTTATGAAAGCGGGACAGTTTTTCTTGGTTCTTGCCATTCGGTAGCAAACCGAAGCCCGAATATCGAGGCAATTAGTCGAAATGAAAAACTTTCGGCAAGTCACTTGGAATCAGCTCGTCGCGTAGCAACGAGTAATTAGTGTCTACTCGCTAGAGTACAGCGGGAGTGTACTCAAATGGCTGAATATTAATACACCAGGGTACTGCTTTCAGGCAGTGAAAGCACTACTATTAGTGCCGCCTCCTCAGAAAATTTGCATACTCTCCGGGACAAAGGAGGAGAGTTAATAAGCCGTCGTTTTTCTGCCCCTGCAGGATTTTTACAAAATTTTCTTTTATATTGTATGATCGTTAGAAATGTCAGAGATAACAGAAATTAGGTGAAAAGTCGATCTATACAGCTAAAATTAATTATTAATTGAGGTGTATCATTACGGTATCTTTTTATGACTAATAAGTGGACTAATAAGATATTTTTGCTCATTATACTTCTTTGCCACCACGTATTAACGTCAAATTTTCAGTGATTTAACACAGTCAACACAGTCCTGTTACTTCAGAATCAATTACGTTCAATATTCCAATGAGGATCTCCTTAGAATCAGTTCGTCGTATCGCGTGATATTATACAACACTTTATACGTTTACTTTATAGATTTCAACCACTTAATCGGCTGGCTACGCTAGCGCGTGCGAATTTAACAGTATGATCGATCTCCATCATACGTCATTAGTAATTTTCAAGTTCAGTATTATCAGACACTTTAAGTTGATTGCATCTTGAATCCTATTTGTTATGTAAGATTCTTGTATCACGTTATGCCTGCTATCTCCTTATATCTATTTTTACTTGGATTATTTTTATCATCTGTACCATTATCTGTACCAGAGAGGTGATTCTTATAAATAAAAATAAATGAAACAAATAAATAAAATAATATAAAATAAAATAAATAAAAAAGATAAAGAGAATAAATAAAAATAACTCTCTCGATATCCGGATTTCGGTGTTACGACTTGTCAGGCAACTGTCCCAACTGTTCCGAGTTTCGAGATTTTGTCTTCTCGAGACAATGCACGTTCGTTGAATATTTTTGCTCGCGGGGCGGGAGGGACGCGTCCTCGATGCCGCATTTAACGCCTGAAATAACTCGCCGAGGAATCGGGCGAATCGTGTATCCGCGAAAATGCATCCACGAGACGTCTCGTTACGTCTCGCTGTGATCTCGAGCGGTGATCAATCTTGCATGTTTATCCCGAGGTGACGGTCCTCGGTAATATCATTTCTCGCTTGACAATAGCGACGCCACTAATCTCGAATAATAATGTGACTGTGCGCGAACGGCATACGGGCGGCATCGCTTTCTCTCTCTCTCTCTCTCTCTCTCTCTCTCTCTCTCTCTCTCTCTCTCTTTCTCTCCCTCTCCCTCTCTTTTTCCTGAATTTTCACCGAAATCTCACCAGCCGTTTCTCATTCGTCGCGACACGATATCATTATTGTACACACGAGTTCAGGTGTAAATTACTTTCGGACAGTTTCGAAACAGAGAGAGAGAGAGAGACAGAGTGAGAGAGAGAGAGAGAGAGAGAGTGAGAGATAAAGGGAGAACCGCAGCGGCCGGATTTCGGATTATCGTTCCCCGCGAAAAAACGCGCGGAGCTAAAAAGCGCAGGGGAGAGACAAAACAGAGAGAGAGAGAGAGAGAGAGAGAGAGAGAGAGAGAGAGAGAGAGAGCAAGGGAGTGGAAAAGAAAAAGTGGCAAAAAAAAAAAAGGAAAATGGCAAAAAAAAAGAAAACGCTCGCTCGCTCGGCCGCCCCGGCCGCGCGACACACGTCACGTTGTTATCAGCTTCGCACTGTCACGATTATTGTCGAATTAATACGGTGTGTATGTGGTGTGTTCCCGGTGGCGGTGGGTATTGTCGGGGTGTCTCGGGGGTACTTTGAATCGCGTCACGCCGTCCCTCAATTCAGCCCGCGAGGTAATTGACGCGCCACTGCCACAACAAGACTACGTTCCATCACTGCCGCCACCACCACCGGGAGGCCTCACCACTGCCAGAACACCAAGTACGTTTCTCCGTCCTTTTTCTACTCGTTTCTAATCGCTTCTCTCCTCACCTTACGCCCGACCGGGACTTGACTTTGCACACATCCGCCTCCCCCCTGCGATCTCTCTCTCTCTCTCTCTCTTTCTCTCTCTCTCTCTCTCTCTCTCTCTCTCTCTCTCTCTCTCTCTCTCTCGATATAGTTATTGCATCGCGCGCTTCGCCGAGAGCGATGGGCGCCGCGTCACGCAGATCGAAAGCGACGTAATTTTCGGTCGGTTCGAACATTCCCGCGTGTGCAGCGTATTTTCTCCCGTGTATATTTCTCACCCCCCCTCCCGCCCGCAGCCGCGTACGACATCGAAGATTGCGTGTGCTCGCCGTAATGAATGTAAAATCGATCGGCCTCGCGCCTCGAAAGGGCTTTATCCCGGAAATGTGAAGAGCGGGAGCGCGGCCGCGTTGCGCTCCTTCGTGCGGCAGGAAATCAGAGTAACATATGCAGGTGAAAGGGAGAAAAGGGAGCGGGGGTAAGAGGGGGAGAGAGAGAGAGAGAGAGAGAGAGAGAGAGAGAAATATCATACACAGCGACGAAACGTCATCGAGCCGTCGCACATGACTCGAGGGCTTGAAAGGGATCCGAAGAAAACGGCTCGAGGCAGTTGGCCCGGTGTTGACGACGGTGTTGAAAGGCCGCGAGCATTTATACCGCACGAACGAGTCCGAGAAATCGACGTTAAATGTTTAGCGTATAAACGTGAGCAGTGAGTCCGTGCAATTGTCCGCATGCATCGCAAGAGAGATTTGTCTCTGGAGAGTTCGCGGGAGTCGAGTCGGTTCCCTCACTGGACATGTTCCGAAATGCATGAACGCAAGTTCAAATTTCCAAAAGAATTCCCAAGGAGGAGGTGGGCTCACGCGCAAGGAGCGATCGTGTCGAGAGAAGAGGGCGCGAGGTGACGCGCTGATATCAGCGCGCGACTGCGCCTGTTATCTTATCAGCGCGTCGGTTCACGCTCTCGTTAGCGGGGTCACTTTCAGCTTTCTTCTCGGCCCCTTTCGTACGAACACACACACACACACACACACATACACACGTGTTCATAACGCGCAAGACGGTGAGAGAGAGAGAGAGAGAGAGAGAGAGAGAGCGCGCGCGCGAGCGACAGCGAGAACTGAACTCACCGAAAATTACAGCGACTTCGGTCGTCGCGCGGCCACGATATCAGCTCACGCGAGTCGCGACCTTGTCTCGTTTCACAGAGTGCGACCAAAAGTTCGTAAGCACTCCTGACGGGCCGTCGAATGGAACTTTTCATGCACCGACGCTGATCAACCTCGAAGGGAATCCTCGACAGTGCGTTTATACGTTCCTCGCAGGGCCACGTCAGCGTGTCGAATTGGTTTTCACGTCGTTCGGCCTTCGGGGAAAGCCGCCAGAGTGAGTGTCAACCACCACGGCATTCAGGCATCATCTCCGCCGTCGTCTCCCCCCCCCCTCCCTCCTCTTTCCGTAACACCAGCCTCATACCTCCCGTCAGCCAGTCGCACCTGACGCGTGCGTCGGAAATCGCGCTACGGCTATTATCGCCTGCGGATTGATAACACACACCCTTGCCATTCTTTCCGCGGCCGACGATAGACGCCGAGATATCCGACTTGCATGATCCTGATTGCTCGCGTCGACGCGCGTCAACCGCGCGACAGGAGACCGAAGGAGATTCGGGACGACTAGCTGAGAGAGTTTCAGCTCTGATATGTTCCGACATGCGGAGCGTGAACATTTTCATGTTACTTCCCTTCTCTCATCCGCAACACGAAATATCATGTATCTCTGCCTATCCGCCTTGCTGTATTTTACTTGCGTTACAATTTTACATAATTTAATTTAATTTTAACATCGCTTTGCCGTGATCCCCCATCTGTCGGTCGGCGTAAGTTTCAACCCTCTCGATGCGGCAGCTTGATTTACCATGTCCCGGTCCAACACCGACGAGCAGTGACACTGCGTCAATGTTTGGCATTCCTCAGCAATGTTACGCGCAACGTATGTTACATTACGCTTGCGTTACCGATTGTAAGGCAGATTGTAAGGTTGATGCAACGTCACTGCCTGCTCGGTGTTTAGAGGTAGGCTAGAGTTACACGCAGACAGCGATAGTCACGACGGCATTCAAGTGCTGTCTAGCATGACTGTGTAGTCGACTAGCATTCGTACCGAAAGGGTTGCAACGCCGACCGTGTGAGCAGGGAAAGTAATCCTAAGCGAGCCTGAACCCCAGTCAGAACTATATAGCACGTGTCCCATGTAGCAAACAAAGCTATATGCATGCAGCAACATTGCTGCAACGTTACCGCAACATTGCGATGTTGTTGCAACGTTGCGGCAATGTTGCTGCAACTTTCTGTGCTGTATCGGCTCGATTCGACGATTGATCTGACGTTGGAATGTGGTCGGTGAACCGTTGAATCAACCTTGTGGCTCTGACTGGGACGATGTCTTCTAACGCATTGTATATTACGCTCGACGAGCGTACAATGCATGCACAAACGATCGGTCGAATTACGAAGGGTCACCTGTCTAAACGTATGTCTTGTTTACACGCACAATTCCGTACGCCGGCCCGTAGTGGATCTGCTGTGGGAGAATTACCCGCGTAAGTGCCTCACATGAGCCCGCGTTTCTCATTAATCGTTAGGTGTCTTCTGGTCTACCAAGCCACGCTAAAGTCACCTCGATCGCGACGTCAGACGCGACACGGCCGAGGTCTATTCTTGCGCGCCGTTTTCAGATAAAAAGAAGACGACACTTGCAGAATGCTGCGAGAACTGTGCCTCTTCCTCGACGATCAATCGACAGCCTCAAAATGAGGCCTGAGGTGATGCGAGACTATTGCGCATGCGCACGTGTGACTAGGCTTAATGTTACAATCATCCGGGGATTGTCGATTGATCGCGTCGAGAGAATGGGATACTTTACGGAGGGTATTTTGCAAATATGCTCCAGCGAGGTCCGCGACGCGTATCCTCTCTCTCGTATACGAATATAACTTGTTCTCGCCGACGTCACACCGCTCGCTTCTGATGTCACGATCCAATATGGCCGCGGTAAATACCCAGGAGCCTTTAAGAGCGAACTTAAGCTAAGCCGCACACGTGTCGTCGTCGCGTTCGCGCGACGTGCATGAATCGCGCCGATTCTCAACTCTTCATTTCAGCTGTGTTCACGAGTTCATGGATATATACTCGGAGATACGATCGGAGAACACGACTAAGCTGATAGAAACGCCATTCGGCGGTCGGTTCTGCGGGCCGACCCCACCTCGTAGACGGGTTTCTCTCTATCAGGGGATCGCCTTAAGTTTCTTCACCGACAAGAATCTCACGCTACCGAACGTTTTCAGCGGTATTTACAAATTTATCAACGCCTGTAAGTGTCTCGTCTCGACCGCATTTCTAACGACGCGCATATTTACTCCCCCTCCGGAGCACGCGGAGGAGAAAGGACGACGATGTCGACAAATTTGCAATCCGGCGACGATTAGATAAAGTAGGAGAGAGCGCGCGCGCGCGAGAGAGAGAGAGAGAGAGAGAGAGAGAGCTGAGCGGTCGCTCGATTAATGTCGAAAACCTCAGTCGCGATGAAGTGTTAAAGAAAAGGATCGCTAGTTTCTTCGCGCAACCCGCAGTCTCTCCGTCTCACGACCGACGCAAGGTCCTGCGGGAGCTCTTCCGGCTGAGTTGATAAATTTTAGACCTTCGGCCTGTTCTCCCCGCTGCGCGGAGCCTCCCTCACCGGTGTGAAAACGGTGTGTCATCTGCGCCCGTTTGTACGAGTTATTTATTCCTCTGACTCCCTTCCTCTCCGCCCCTCCCCCCTCCCCTCCCTCTCCCCCCCCGAGCCCCGGGGGGTGCTGCCGGTAGGTAGGTTTTAATGAATTTTACGTGACGTCCGCAGCCGAGTACGAGGTGGGCACGCTGGCGCCGAGCACACCGTGCTCGTTCACGATAAGCGCGGAGGCCAAGGGCAGCGGCAACATACTGTCGCCCACTTATCCTGGCACCTATCCGAAGGACCTCGTCTGTAGCTATCAGTTTATCGGCAAGGCCGGGCAGCGCGTGCGACTGGAGTTTCGCGACTTCGACTTGTTTTTCGGGGGGCCACAGTACGTATGAGCACCGGCGGGGTGAGAGACCTTGTGGGATTCGGCGTGGTCTCGGGATTCAGGATCGGCCTGGTCTTATTATTTAAGACCGACCTAGGTTCATCTTTGGATGCTCCGACAAGACGATCCGTGGTATCGGAAGATGTGAACTTGAGACGATCTTAAATATATAAGATTCGAATATAAATTGTCCGCGAGGAAAATTGTGGCCCGAGCAAACCGTGCTGGCTTTTAAGCGTCCCCATCTTCGCGTCTTCGTGTTCCTCGCCAGCGAAGAAGCTCTGTACCGAGATCCGCGTTTGACCGCGTTCTTCTCCTACGTTCTCGCGATCAGACGACTCCTTCACTCGTCAACGCTGACACCTGATCTCATCTAGCTCTCAAGTCTGTCCAAATTGGGAGACTTTCGAAATATCGAACGTGAATTCGCGCGCGCGTGAAAATGACAACTTCGTCATCAGCGGCTTGCCGCGGTCATATCGCGCGCGCGCGCGCGGTAGTTCCTCGGGGGGACACCACCCACGTGGTGTTATTGCGGAGCTTGATTTTTCTTAACGCGAAGATCTCGTCGCCATCCGTAGTTGTCCGTTGGACTACGTGAAGGTGCACGACGGCATCGACAATTCGACGGCCGTGATCGGCACGTACTGCGGCCAACAGCGGAACCTGGTGCTGTACTCCTCGGAGTCCAGCCTGTACGTGGCGTTCGTCACGCTCAAGCGCACCGCGAACACGCAGAACCGCGGCTTCAAGGGCATCTTCGAGTTCTCAGAGAGTTTCGTCAGTCTGGGTGAGACGACCGTGCCGATTTTGTCCGTTTGTTCCGTTCCGTTTCGCGTCGGACTGGACGAAGGCTCTTGTTTTTTCGCAACGTCAGGAGCGAGAAAACATACTCTAGAAACGCTTGCCAAATATCTCGGAATAAAAAGGAAAGAAAAACATATCCTCGAAGTGACATTCGCAGCCAGTCGAGGAGCGGGTCTGCGAAATAGTACGAATGCCTCCTTTTTGCTCAACGATCGATAAATATAAGCGCAAAATTAACGTCCGTGGAATCCTGAAGAAAGACGGAATGAAAGGAAATAACTTGCATGTCACGTTATTTCTTTCGATCGCAAGTGTCACGTTACGAATGTAACCCGTCTGGTCCCGTCGACGCGTTCCGCAGGATGTATTTTTTCGCTTCTGACGCCGCCAGGCAGGATTCCCGCGGCGAGGAACCAAGAGCTTTGAGGACCACGCTTGTAACCCGTCCCCGTTCTGACGTCTTCTCTTTCTCGTTGGCCTGCGTAGACTTCATCAAGGAGTACCAAGGGGAGCACATCCGCGGATCCGAGTGCGACCAGAAGATCCTCAGCAAGAAGGAGACCTCGGGATTCGTAGTCAGCCCAAACTTTCCATATCCTTACATACCGAAGGTCGTCTGCCGTTACTTCATCTACGGGATGCAGGACTCGCAGCACCTCGAGCGCGTGCGACTGGAGTTTGAGAAATTCGCGATACAGACACCGAAGGGAGAGTGAGTCCTTTTTGCTCACTTTCGTGCTCGCGCATCTCTCAGGACTTTCCCAGGGACGGCAAAATTGGTTTACCGATTACCAGTTGTCGCGGCCTCATTTTTACGAAATCTTTCACGCGGGTTCCTTTCCCGTTTTGTCTTTTTCCTTTTTTTTTTTATCGCACTTCCTGGGTTTCGTGTTTCAGGTCATGCACCGATGGCTACCTAAAGCTATATCTGAAGGGTCAGGAGGCGACGGATTCCTACGACAAATTCGATTACGAGATGTGCGGCAACAAGAGCAATCCGAGCCACGTAGTTAGCGACGGGCCGAGACTCGTGATGGTGTTCAGTAGCGGCGAGCTGCAGGCGACGGGTTTCAAAGCGAAGTGAGTGCGAATCTCGAGAGGAACAATTGGGGATCAGTGGAGCAGTTCGAACAGATCCACGTTGGTTTTTACGGGCTTGGGAAAGTTGTCTCGTAAAAATACCTAATTACAGTTACAATTTTTTACTGAAAATCAACTGGTTACGGTCACAAGTCACGATTCTGAAAAATAACTCGTTGCAGTTACGGTCAGCTTCGGTATGTTCTAAACTTTTCGTTTAAAACAGATTGTTTTGAACGTTTGATAATTTTAAACATGCGTTTTTCTAACAAATGTGTGTTCTTTAGGTATTTCACAATAAACTACGGATGTAAAATTATCGGTGATATATAAATCGATCCTTTCGCAAAATATCTATTTTTTAAAACATGTTTTTTGCACTTGTTTAAAAGAGACTTAGAACACAAGAAATCGGACAATCTCTGTCCCTTTTGTGAGATAAAAGAATTAGATCACATGTTCCCTCTAAATTGAACGCGCTCCTCGAACGTAGCTGCGAAGCAACTATATCAAATCAGTTCCCGATTCCCCAAAAAAGATGTAATCAAGTTAAATTAACACAGATATTGAAAGAGGAACCAAGTTATATTACCGAAAAAGAAAACAACCCCGTGACTGCAACCCCGTTACAAGGATGTAACGAGTTACCTCCTCCCGATCCTGGTTTTTTATCCGCACAAGCGCTCGTTTAAAATCCGACCACGAGCTAGCTGGAGAACGCCGGATCCTCCGGCGACTCCGACAGACCCGCGTAAATTCCTCCACGCCACTGCGCGTTCCAACGGATCCACGTTGATTCCTTTTTTTTCTCCAACACTCGCGACTCGCCCAAAGTTCATCGGCGCGAACTGTGGCGTTGGGTCTTCGGCGGCTGCGAGACAGATCCATTTGCTTGACACGAGCGCACGTTGAAAGGCCGCCCGCGCCGTAATCTGCCGGCAGGTACACCTTCGAGACGGAGTACAAGATCCCGGGCACCGCGGCTCCTGATGGCAGCTGCACCTTCACGTACCGCAGCTCGTCGCGCAAACGAGGAGAATTCAACTCGCCGCGCTACCCCAGCAACTACCCGAGCGACACCAACTGCACGTACTTCTTCCTGGCGACGCCGAACGAACAGGTCGCGCTGATCTTCGATCACTTCAAGGTGCGGACGAAGAATCTCAATGCCACGGACGGCCACTACGGGTGAGTAACGCACTTCTACGTCGCGCTTTGTGAAACGCGCGCGCGAGCTGTTTCGCCGGCAGCGTCGTCAAACATGGTCGATGTGCTTTTCCCGTCGACAGGTACGAGCTGTGCCAGGAAGACTGGCTGGAGATCTACAATATGTATAGAGACCACACGGAGAAGCTGATCGGCAGGTATTGCGGCACAACCGCGCCCGGCCCGGTCGAGTCGAACCTTGGCGCCCTCGGCTTGAAGGTGATTCTCCACACCGACTCGGAGCTCGTCTACAGCGGCTTCAAGGCGCGCTACACCTTCGAGGTCGCCAAACCTATCTTTGGAGGTACGGAGGGCGCACTTTCTGCTCGCTTCTTTGTAGACGAGGATTACCTCCCGTCTCCCCTTCGACGAGAAGCGGGAGCGAATATTTGGAATTCGAAAGATGCCTCGAGTAACAGGAAAATTTTCTCATCAACTAGTTGTGACTTGATGTGACAAGCGTTTTTACAGTTTTTGAGTCGTCACACTTTATGCGGGCCACCCTGTGGATGTGCTATTTAATATCCACCAAACAAATATTGTTTATTTGCTAGATATTTTTGTTCACTACTATATACGTGCTCACAGCATGGCTCCAAAGGCTTAAATCTCTACTAACTGAGTTAAGCGAAAGCCGTACGTCGCATCTGTCCGAAGATATTAATTGATCCACCGAATTGATCGTGTCGTAGATTGCGGGTCGAATATCAGCAGCTTAAATTATGGCATCATTACCAGTCCGAATTTCCCGAACAAGTACGAGGGACCGGCGCGGAACCTCGCCAGCAAGACCTGCAACTGGTTCATAAGAGTGCGGCCGAATCAGCAGATACTGTTGAACTTTGAGCTTTTCTCCGTGGAGGGCGACCAATCAGGTAACATCGCGAATAAATTAGGTGGTTAGGTTTCTCGCTGAGTGTAGAAAATGCAGCATATTTTTAACGAGATCTGTACGTGCAAGAAATACGAAAAGGGTCGTATTAGAAGAGAGAGAGAGAGAGAGAGAGAGAGAGAGCGTGCGCTTTTGGGATGACACTTTTGAGCGCCGTTATCTACATACGGGCATCCCTTCAATTGGACGTTGGACCGCCTCAGTTTACCTTATCTCACCTTATCTGTTTTCAGCGCGAGGGTGTCCGGCGGCCGTGTTACGTATGTGGTACTCCTTGACGTCGACCCCGCGCGAACTCTGCGGCATGAAACCAACCGACGCTAAGTGGAGCTTCATCTCGGAGGACAACAACATGCGGCTCAGGTCTGTCGCGATCACGCGCTACACCGAGCGATTGTTATCTCGCTCCGCGTCCTTTTCAAGCTTTTTCTTTTATCATTTTTAACACGCGACCGCGCGGCCGTTACAGCTTCATATCGGCCGACAAGGCGGTGGGCCAGCAGGGCTTTCGCGCGGTCTGGACCGAGGTGAGCAGCGACACCGTCTGCCAAGATCAGTTTCTATGCAGCAAAAATAAGTACTGCATCGCCGAGTCCCTACGGTGCAATAACATTGATAATTGCGGGCCGGACGATGCGTCGGACGAGGAGAACTGTAAGTTTCGCAAACGTTAAAGTCGCAGCGTTTCTCAGGAGCAAGCATTTCGAAAGCGGTGTGTGATTCGGTGTTTTACTTTGCTTCCATTACAACTTAATATTATCTCTCTCTCTCTCTCTCTCTCTCTCTCTCTCTCTCTCTCTCTCTCTCTCTCTCTCTCTCTCTCTCTCTCTCTCTCTCTCTCTTCCTATTTTTTTTCTTTCTCTCTCTATCTCTCTACTGCTCTAACTTTCTCTCTCTCTCTCTTTCTCTCTCTATCTTTCTACTGCTCTAACTTTCTCTCTCTCTCTCTCTCTCTCTCTCTATCTTTCTACTGCTCTAACTTTCTCTTTCTCTCTCTCTCTCTCTCTCTCTTCCTATTTTTTTTCTTTCTCTCTCTATCTCTCTACTGCTCTAACTTTCTCTCTCTCTCTCTCTCTCTCTCTACTGCTGTAACTTTCTCTCTTTCTGTCTCTCTCTATTTCTCTCTCTCTGTCTCTCTACTACTCTGCCTAACTTTCTCTCTCTCTCTCTCTCTCTCTCTCTCTCTCTCTTTGTCTGTCTGTCTGTCTGTCTGTCTTTCTCACTCAGAGTCTCTTTCTTTACGTAAACTATACTCTGATATTCAGTGTAATCTCCTTTGGACTGTTCAATAGACACTATATTCTACAAAGATTTCCAGGTGTTATTGTCTTTGTGTATCGTAATACCTTCAGGCGATCCTCTAACAGTATCTCGTGTTCATCTGTATTTTGTTAGTCCAAAACTCGCGGCTCGCACGACGGGCGAGTTAACGGCATGGAGATACTCACTCGAGAATCAGCATGAGAACGATGAGATGAACTAGTAACTCGCGTGTGTCACGTTGATCAATCACGGAAACAAGCCGCGTTGATCCGGTCTGATTTCTTCCATCCGCGTTGTACGCGAGGAAACAGCAGAATTCGAATCCTCCTCGTGTCTTTCGTTCAAACGATAAAGCAGATTTCCACGCGCGTATATTTCCCGCGTACACGTAAACAAGTATTGTTCACACGCGGGGTGGCCCGCGTAAGTTCCGTCCATTATCTACATAACGCTGCGCTTTTAGGAAAATTTGTCGCTCTTTTCTCAGCGAAAGTGTCGAGGCCTGTCGGTACGGATTTCCGGGGTACGAACGATCGAAAAATCGCTTTTAAGCTGGCTCAATCAGCTCTTCGATCAGCACCGAGTGGACTTCACTTCAACGACATTTCAATCTGAGGCTTAGCTGAAGACATATCGTATGAAGATCGAGAAAAAGAAACATACCGGAAATATACACTAGAAAAGCAGTGGCCTTCCTACCGACACTTTCGCTCGACGGGGAAATTGTCTGAGACAAATTTTCCTGAGGAATAGCGCTGTGTAAAAAAGATAAGCGCAGAAGACATGCGAGGCACCCGCTAGGCTGCCGTTCGTCTCCGAAGAACTTTCGAACTGGCGCGGTGAGTTAGAGTGAAACAAGCATACTTTCTTTCATCCTATCTTGTTGCACCAGCGTGTGCACTGGTCCGGAGGTTCTTCGGAAACGAGAGCAAGCCTCCTCTGTGAGGAACTCAGAGAAGCGTGGATATCACATTGGGCGAGTGCGCAAAAGTTTCGACGAATCTTGTCGACATATGCACCGCGATAATGCATAATTTTATTAAAAACAATTTACCAGGTAATTATTTCACCAGATAATCTGCTGCTAATTATTTTCTCATCATTCAACGGTGTATCGTGTACATCTATATATATGTTTGTAATCGTCGCCGTAAGACCGAATCGGTCACGACGATCTTTGAGAAACCCATCAGGATTTTCGCGCTCACCCAATACGGATACGCTGCACGGTGCATGTGTACGAAGTTCGCTTCCACGGGAGATATCAGACGCTCTGTTATCGGAGAAACTAAAGAGAAAAACGCCAAAAAAAAAAGAAAAACAAATCGCAGCGAAAGACAGAAAATTCACGCGACTCACCCCTCCAATGACACCTGCACACGTCTCCGTGGCCAAGGTGTGTTACACACGCCGAGCCGACGCAAAGCCTGATTCACGCTATCGAATATACAACAGACACACACACACACACACACACACACAGAGACACGAAAGCAAGCGGTTTACACAACGTTAACAGAGATAAAAACATATACCAGGGCTAGGCGCGCGAAAAAAGCGCGCGAGCGTTTTACACGCGTAACTTTTGTCTAGGTAAGTAGTAGCAAACGTAGAGAGAACGTACGTACACACGCAGGTGAGAGAGTGGTGGGGCTGCGCGGGTGAATGATTGTGTGGTGTCGCAGGTGCAGCATCAGCCCCATTGTCACCAGCACTGGCTGGGGCCTCTGCCATGCTTCTTCTCTCTCTGTGCTTTGTGTTCGTGGCCATCTGAGCCCCCTCATGAAGCTTCCGACGATCCGGCATGCTATGATCTCCCCTATCAATCACGTGAGTTCACTCACAGTATTGCACATCATTATCGTACTTAACAAGCCCGATTGGAATGAACATATTGCGTGTCACACACTTGGTCTCCGGCGTGTCTCACTTCGAACGACCGTTGCGACCGGCGCGGGCGGTCGTTACTCCCGACGTACGTCCGCGGCCGGAGACGAAGAGAGCGATGAGGAAGGACGAACGAGTGGTGGTGCCGGTGTCATTATGCCTTGTCCTTGTTATCAGCCTCAAGCGCGACACACGGACGATATATTGGCTGCGTTACGAACGCTGCGTCTATACGGGAGACATACATAGTTTGTGTCGGGTATACTATGGATTTTCAGCGCTGGCGGTAAATCTCGGAAACGCGGCTATAATTATCGTCGAGGTTGCGCTCTGTTCGAGTCTGACTAACAATCGTGGACGATCGCGCATCGCGCACAAGAGAGAATCGGGATTGATGGAGACGCCGCAGAATTGTGTAAATGAGAGAGAAGAACAGTCGAGCGCGTCGAGTCTCTCTCTCTCTCTCTCTCTCTCTCTCTCTTGGTCGCTTCGATGGCTTTTCGTCGCGCTTTTGTTATCGAGGTGAATGTCTCAATCAGCGGCCGCGTGACGTAATCGTCAAAGTGAATGAATTGGTTGATTACATATACTTGACGTGCAAAGTTGACTCTGTCGGCAAGCCTGAGCATTCGGCGTTTAGATTGTGTGTCAACGTTCCAACTCACGGCAAGATCTTCACTTACTTTCGTCGGAAATAACTAAAGTACCGTTCACACGGCAGAAGTTGAAGAAGAACGACCGCTAACACAGATGACCGATATTAACCGTCAACGTTCCAAGCCAACATCTTCGATGAATGATTGTTCGAACTATCGCTGTTAGCAGCACGCTCGCGGTCATGACGTCCCAACCGTGGCTTTTAATTTTCTTCGAAACTGATGATTGTTGCGACTGATAATATACAAGATAGACAAGTGAGAACACACGTTTAGGATAAATGCAGACCCGTGTGTAAACAAAGCTTTACAAGGAGAAGCAAATACAATACCGTTAAAAATTGGGACATTCACTTTACTATCGAACGGGCGGTTTCGCGAATTGGAGAAAACGGGAAACACAACACGTCGGTTTTTACCTTTTCGGCCGGGGCATCACGTGCGACGACGACATCCGACACAACAAAAAGAAAGCATGTCGAGAGGGAATGCAATTACATTGGTTATATGCCTTTACTAACTTTTTGACTGCATGCGATTATTTTCTACTATTTGTACTCCTGAATCTCTTGCGACGTACTTTCTCTCTCTCTCTCTCTCTCTCTCATTCTCTTCTCCCTCTCTCTCTTTCTCTCTCTCTCTTTCTCTATCAAATGTACTATTTGCCTTTTTCTCGTAGTTTACCCTATATCTTTTTCGATCTACATGGCATTACTTGCAAATTAAGCCCGTATATAATTTCGAAGACTCGCAAGTCCGTTACTCGTAGTCTAATAACAACTCGGTGAGTGACATCTCTTAAATTATAGTATTTCTAATCAGTCCACGTGTTTAGCAATCCATCAGCGTACCGCCAACGGATCGGATACGAACGCGCACGAAGCATTTCGAAATTGTGGTTAGAAAGAAACATATTTCATCGTTCAGCGACACCGTTCAAATAGAATATATCGACGATACCAGCATAAAAGAATAGATGAATTATACATATAAGAAGTCATCAAATGAAATGGATAATCTTGAGAATCAGAGACTTGTCATTCGTTTCGCGCTGAGAATTATGTATTGGTGGAGTTGGGTAACAACCGGTTGATCAGTTAAGAGAGTTAAGTTAAAACGTTAAGAGCAGACGTTAAGCAGACGTTAAGAGCGTTAACTTTTAAATCAAACTGACTATTTTCGAATGCATCAACCTTTGCTAATGTTTCAAACAGTTCGAATTATACAAAAAACATATAAATCTCTTTGCATAATTAACTTTTAACTTTAGCTTAAAGTTAGTTTAATTTTAACTTAACTTTAAATTGAGTCCTGCTCAAAGACTTTTAACTTGATCAAATCAACCTCACAGGTTCTTAAAAAATTTAACTTACAAGGCAAGTTCGTCATTTCGCCGGGAATTCTCAGAAAATTCTGAAACATTGTGTGTGCAAGTAGTAACAAAAAGTAGTTACAAATTAATTACTTTATTTGCATACAACACACACAACACGCGTTATCCCAAGGACGTTCTACAATATCCTGGGGATGTATGTATGTAATGTTCTCCGTTATAGATACAGATATCCTGCGGACATCTTTTTTAGTAACAACTTTTAGAAATTAAAAATTTCTAAAAGGGAACTGAAAGTTATTAAAAAGGATATCCGTGGGATATCTGTAGAATCTGAAATAGCGGACATTTGTGTATCCCCAAGATATTGCAATATCCCAAAATGATGTCCCTGACGTTCCTGAGATAAAGTGTTCCTCTGTGGAAATGTTTGAGAATTTTCCGAATTTCCGAGCTGCCTAACCTCTCTCTTGATAGTCAAGAGAAAAAATGAGCTTACCCAACCTTGTTCATCAGCAGTACAATCGATATTCAGCGTTAGATTCAAAAACGTAGTGACGTCTCACAAGGACGTAACCCTCCGCGCGAGAATCAGCAATCGGAACAATCGTCGGGCATTAATCGATTGCAGTCCGAATTTGATTGACTGGCATTAGATCCAAATTAACATCGAATAAATAGCGATTGCACACGACGATCGTCCCCAGCGATTAGATCGATCGTACACTGACCGACAATCAATCCCATCGATTGATCGAACTGTCCACAATTAAATGCCGATCGGAATTAAATGACGATTGATTATTTCGATTACCGATTCGCCGATTACTCCGTCCGCGCGCGCGGCTAGTTAGGAAAGCGAAGGCGAGACGAGAGAGACGAGCGAGACGTGAAAGCGCGACTTAACCGGCGACGACGCGAATTCCAGGCGCCGAGAAGCCGCAGACGGACAGCTACATGGCGCTGGTAGCTTACTTGATCGGCAGCATCCTGGTGGTCGTAACGATCTGTCTGATCTGCCATCGCCTGCGACGATGCGCGCGCGGTATGCCGATCGACGAGCTGCCGCAGCGGGTCGTCGACGACCGACGCCATTGCTACTACCACGACGACCTCCTGCACCATCACCAGGAGTATCCGCGCGGCTTCAATCAGTACCAGCTGGAGCAGCCGAGCCCGCCGAGCGAGAGCGACGGCGAAGCTGAGGAAGTCGAGGCCGAGGCGGAGGCCGAGGCCGAGGCGGAGGCCGAGCAGGCCTGCGACCAGGAGGCCAGCAGCCCGAATTGCGTGTGACCGTGGCCGATGGCAGGGTGACGATCGCGCTCCCCCCCGTGTCCTCCTCGCGACGCCCTCGTCCTCGCGGTGTTCGCGCTCCTCCTCGTGCGATTCGTTGCTGTTGTTGCACGGCGTGTTCTCGAGGAGCCCGCCGCGCTGCTCCGCTTTCTCGCCGCCGCGGTCGCGACCGGGGAGTCGCAACAGCGAGGAACAGGAAGTCGCGGTGGAAGTCGCCGGTGAGAGAGAGACTTTGCATGTGAATCGGACGCGCCGTGGCTTCTCCACGTCCATCGCTACGTGCGTGCATGCGTGCTTGCGTACATACCTCTGCGTATGTCACATTGAACTCCACGACGTGTGCGTGAGGAACGGAGTGGGTTCCGTGAGTTCGTAGACGTGGAAACGCCGGAAACGAACGTCCGCTGCGGCCGACGAGTGTTGTTCTTTGTCGAGAACTTTGCCTTCTTCAGAGCTGAAGCAACGCCACGGAGATCCCTTCCTCTTCCCTTTCCCCGACAGCTATCACGTGATGGCTTACACGTGGTCGTTAACACGTCATCGTCATCGGCGCCATGACTGTATTTTCTAAACAAACCACATGGCCCTTCGAATCCGCGGATGGCTCTTCGTAGGGCTTCGTGGTGCTTGACGCTCAATAACCTCCTTCGTGCCACGCGAATTATTTTCTCCCCGGGAGAATTCCAGCCATCCGCCGAATATCCGAGAGATTGGCTCCCGATGGCTTCGTCGAGCCGCCATCCGAGATCACCACACACGACACTCCGCGATGCAACAGCAAATTTATACTGACCTGCAGTTGAGCTGCATTTAGTCGCGAAAAGCGATGAACCGTTATAGAATTCTCGTCGATTCTGACTGGTGTGCGCTTGGAAAGTTTCCGCGTCAGGAATGGAAAACTGCAGGTTAGATTTTGGGCGCGTATTCGCAAAATGGCGCCTACAGCCGACTGCATACAAAGCGTCTCCAGTGCCCCGTGCAAGCAATCATTTGATGGATATATTTCCTTGCGTAAAAGTTTCTTCAGCTCTCTAATTTATTAAATAATTTATTAAATTGATTTAAATTGAAATGTTTCCTTGTCATTTTGTGATTTTATAAGATTGGTGATTGAATTTTCCAAAACATTCATGATGATTCACTGGTACACATAATTTTACAAATAACAGTTATTCTTGGGGAAAATATTGTGTCCCACGTGCAAATATTGATTTCGGTGATTTTCACGCGAGTAATCGTTCGCGCTCTGGAACGCCGCGAAAGCTTGAAACCAACACAATTTGAAAGCGTTGTTGAATGAAAACCTGTCCCAAACGCAAGTGGAACTTGCCGAGTTAAAGCTCCTTTCACTACAGATCCAGAATTTAGATTAAATCTTAGATTAAATTACGAGATTGAGAGCGAACACCAATCAGATGGACGAATTTCACACAAGCTCCCTCTTCACTTGAACCTTCAAAATACGTCGGGATTTCAAGTTCAGTTTTACCATCGTTATTTTGATTTTATTGTCTTTTCACCACATAGGGAAAATTCCGACACCTCACTCTAACGATTCTTACACTCGTATTCATAGTCAGGCCTTATATTTAAGACTTTCTTAAGTTTATCTTCAGATGGTCTGCAGCCAATAAAGTAATCCGTGCAGCATCTAAAGATGAATATAAGGAGGCCTCAAATATGAGGCCTCCTGACTATGAATACGGGTGTTAATCAACGTTTCTTCATTTTCTAACATCACGCGTCGACTTGTTTCGACTGGGACTCTGTTACTTTCTGAACGCTTATCAAATGTTCATTATGGCTTTCTAATTGTCAAGTTGATATAACGTTTATATATATAAGAAAAAAAAAGAAACGGAAAATCGATATTGTTGCAGCGCGTTCAGGGTAACAGATGTTCTACAAAGATCCGACTATGAAAAGCAGCCCTTTATGGACACATTCTGGATAACGGTCATTAGATTGGTACTTGGATCAGGCTTTCGCTATTCTGTAACTCATAACGTAACATTCCGGATAATCTTTCTCGGGAATCTTGGGACATTCACGTCCGGCCTCGACGAACGCATCCGGCGAGCCGATCGGACGATTGCCTGCTATCTTTTGTAAATGACGTAAATCGGACATCTCGCGTTGATAAGAACCAAGTTGAAAGTACTAGCGCTTCCCGACCGTGCTGAACCATAGACCACGTTCAGAAAACACAACGGTTATTGGTTTCAGCCGTGCAATAAGAATCATCCACGATTGGATGCACTTTCACATCTACCAATAATATCCATCTTCCAGAAGTCGACGACCAATCGTACGTGCTCTCTGGACACAGCCATAGACTTGGATACATAGACTATTGCTTCCTACGGGAACTTCGAAAACGAAAAAGATGTAAAATACTCGTCGCAGGGGCGTACTTGGGAGAAATATTGGAGAGGCAAGAAGTCATGACCTTTTCTTTAGTAGTCCTTACATCACCCGTGGTAGGGGTGAAAGTATTTAGAAGTATGTAGGTTATATAGGATGTTAAAAGTTAACTTACAAATTAGGACATTTTGGATTAAAAAGAAAGTATCATCTTATCATTTTGCGTTGTTGTTTACAAAATGATGAAGGACTTTTGATACAAGATGTAATATTTTTTCATTTGTATTATTTATGGTTGTTAAATAACCAGTAAAGAGGGTAAAATTATTGGGGAGACGTTGCCCCTCCAATAAAATTATTGGGAAGGCCAAATATACCTGCTGTTTTCCTCTAGCTTTCTCCAATAGGATTGAAGCTTGACAAAGATCGAAAGTCCATGATATAGGTCATCTTTCTTGCAGGTAATCTTTGCAGCCTTTTATGGAGCGCTCGGTTCGTGTGAACAAGTTTATGGCTGGAATACGCTTCATTAAAAACAAAGAGAAAAACGCAACCGCCTCGCGTTTTTAATCCTGCTGTGTCCTCGCTCTTCCTATCCGCAAGTGGAGATCGGATTTGAAAGCTCGCGCGATATTCGGTGTGTGTGTGTGTGTGTGTGTGTGTGTGTGTGAGTGTGTGTGTGTATATGTGTGTATATGTGCAACAAAGGAAGAAAGAGAGAGAAGGGGAAGATTTCGCGTTTTCCATGATTTACACGCGACGGATTCTGGCGTGCGACCGATGCAAAGTTCACTCGAGCGAGGGCTGCGCTTCGGACGCTTTCGTGCTAATAACATCCTAGCCAGCTAGAAGCGGATTTCGCGTCGCGTCTTTTGTAAATCTGGTCGCAGCAACACGCGTGATACATTGCATTGCTTGCATTGTTGAGTGAGAAATTATAACTAACACAGTTACGTTACTGTTACTTGGTGCTTGCTGGCTTCTATCTTCACTGTTCGCTTAAGAAAAACTCTGAGTGTTTTCGACATGAAAGCACCCAAAGCGAAGATCTCCCGAGGTGGAATACCTC